CATATACAATTTACTCATTCAAAGACTTGGGTGTCATTTAAATAATGCTTATATGGCAGTGACACTGTTTATAACTACGGATTAGTAGAACCTTGTAAGTATGAACACATACCTCTGGGCAAAGAAAAAATGGAACTGTAAGCCAAAAGGCTGTCTTAAACACTTTCTTCTTATCATTGATGAGTATGTATGCCCCCCATCCCACGACCCTTCCCCACACCAAAATACTGGGAGGGACAAGTTTGTTAGAACAATTTTGTTATTTTCCAAGTACAATGAAAAATATATAAGGATTAACCGTGTTGTTACGAAAAGGGGCATAACTCCGGAAAGTAGCATTGAAATGTAAAAAGGAAAAAATTAAATGCCTATAAGGCTATAAGTGAATAATGACCTTGTATACTGATAATGTTTACAAAGTCGCATTGAAATCTATGCTGTATTTTAGGGGAAGTAGCTAGTGCATGCTTCTATTTTAAGGGGCCTAACTCTACAAAAACAGTACATCAGGAGAAATAACAAATAGTTAACAACTACCTTGCTTTAAGTACTGTACAAAATTTATGGAAATCTATGTAGTATCTTTGAAGTTTTCCAGACAGAAAGACAGATGGACAGATGGACAGACAGGAAGACAAAACAGACACACATGGTCATTGCAGTATGATTGTCCACAATAACTTAATTGTGCAGAGTATTATAACAAACAATGATCTCGCATTGGGGCAGTATTCTTCATTATCTAAGAACCTTTGAGTATGTTCTTTAAAAAGAAAAAATAAAGGCATATTCTTTAGAGGTTTTAGAAAACTATGTGATCCAAGCGGATATAACAAAACCCAAATAGAACTCTGTAGTTTGGCAATTGAGTTTGAGTAAATATCAGTACATTGTATTGCATCGAATCAAAAAACATACAGCTAAATCTCCCTTTTGTATAAATTCTAGATATGTGCATAATCACAATGGTACAAGATATAACCTTAACAAAAAAAATCTTAATATAATATTAAAGAGTATTATATCATATAAAGATATTATTATGATAGTTAAAAAGATTTCTTCTGACAGAATAAATTATAAATCTGGTTTGACATTTTTGAGCGAGGCAAACAAAAATTTGCATATCACTAGCAATGTTATCTTGGCTCGATCCAGCAAATCTATTCTTCAGAGAATTGCAAACACAGAAGCAGCGGGAATCGTAGCTCAAAGTCTGATATATTATAGTTATAAATTTTTAGATGTGTTTTTTTGAAATTTATGATGAAATTGTAGATTTTTTTTTATTTTGATAAATTTTAGATATTTTGTTTTTGAAATCTAAATTATCAGACCATTATCTTATTACAATGTTGGATAAAGGTGATAGTCTGATAACATAAAATTCCAAAATAATATATCTGAAATCTAAAAATAAACATAAATCTATCGGACCTTGACCAACAGTTCCCCAGCTCCAAGTACAGTAGCTCACATATTTATTGTTTTGCACCTGACATGACATTTGGTTAGTAATACTGAAAGGATTAGGATTAACTATGTCCTACTACTGCTGGAGGTTTCATCCCTTCTATAGCTATAACAGGTTTCATCAATCCCAAAACTGCTACAAATTCCATTACTACCAGAACTGCTATAACATGTAGGTATTATCATTACCATAACTACTTTCATAACTCCCCAAGGGCATGCTTTATGTTTTCCATAAACTCTTTGCATATCCTCTTAGTAACTTAAGCATGTATTGAATCTGTCTATTTTGAAAAGATATGGTGTTGTTTAGTGTAGACAGGTTTTGTAACGTGCGGGCGGTCACCCATCCAACTACTGACCACGCTCGATGTTGCTGAGCTAGTGAGCGGGTCCCCGGGTTGTAAGACATCACTGGAAAAGCTAGCTTGCCAGTAAGGCAGTATTTTCCCTTCAAATACCTTAGCTGTTACAGTTTCAATGCTACAGATCAGTACAGAGTATTTCATATTTTAAGAGATCATTTATTACTATGTACAGTACAAAGATAAAAGAACAGATCAGTTTTTGTAGACCAAAATAATTCGCCTCCTTTTGCCATTATGTAAAATATTGCTACGGAAATAATATTTTGTTGTAGTCTGTCAGCAAATAAAGTTATTTTTATAAACTGCTTACCACATCTGAATGATTTAGATCTAAATTTGCACAGGTTTTTAATACATCACTATAAACGAACCTATTTAAGCACAATCAAATTTTTAGCACAAAATTTGGATAGATTTGTGCATTAATCAATCGGCGCATCCACAATATAAGTACAAACAAACAATAAACAAAATTCAATAAGCGCTATCATTAATTTAGCACAATATTCAAAGCTTGAAAACCCTAAAATAAGTTAACCACTAAAATATGCATGTTTACAGAACTATCTGCAAGAACCGATGTAAGATGAGAATAAATACTCATGAAAGACATCAACGAAAAAACAACATTTGACAACCAATATCACAGGTAAGTCTACGTCCCCACAAAAACCATGTGAGATTGAGGCTGAAGAGATTTCTGTAGAACAGGGATGGTAGTTCAAGTTCATGGCCATTAGTATAAGGTTTGTCATGAACAGAGCATACCATTCTTATAAGACTGAGTGACTGCTCGGCTGAATGAAATCCAAAAATATTGTCCACAATGCAAAGATTTTTTATCGTTTTCCTGATTAACTAATATGATAGGGGTCCCATCAATTATTTTTGAGCCATCTTTAAAATTAGGAGATTTCCTATAGGCTACATTCGCATATCCGGTTAAAATGGTTGAAACGGTTGAACCTGTAAAGAAAATGACAGGTACAGATCTGAACCGAGGCTGACCTCAGGAATATTTGGCACATGTAGATTGAGGGGTCCAGACGTACCTGACCAAACTAAAATGCTGACTAATTGCAAGTTTGCATTATTTCTTTCAAAAACATTGTCAAGCCACATGTAGTTTTTAAGATACGTTATGTAATTCAGTGGACCCGTGAAAGAAGGGCATAATATTCCTGATACATTGTTACTTTTTTTCCGAAATTGTGCATTTTAAGCTCTGCTTAGAGAACGGCCCAAGTGTATTCGTTTATCATGGAATATTTCTGCGCCACCTGTACCATTTCTATCGGGATACGCGAATGTAGCCCTAAACTTTCAGGGTTTTTCCGAGCAATCTATAGCAAAAATCGGCCTGAACACGATTTGGAATGATTCAGTAGTCCAGCCTCCAGGCTCATCAACTGTTCAAAGGAAGCATTTCAACATCTGGCGAGTCCGACTTGTCCATGAGGAGTGAGAGTTGTTGACGAGCCCCCTCCAGGAAAACATCCAGACTGGCCATGTGTCTCTTATGGACTTTACTGTCGAGCTGTAATTAAGGAATGGTCACAATTTTACTTGTGTTTGGGTTATGTGTGCCATACTTTCCAGCTTAATGTGTAACACACACAGCTGCTATGAGCATGAAGTATTTCTCTGGTAGTTCGGGTGTAGAAGTATATTGGTACCATATTTATACAATGCAGTGTTGTATACATATTACTGTTTTTTTCTTTTAAGTAAAGTAATTGTGAATGACTGAATACATTGGTCAGTGAGTTTACTGTTGGAAGTCATGTGTCGTTGATTATTGATTCATTTCTTTTAAATGTTGGCTACAGAATGGAAAGTGAGTTGACTGTTGGCTGCTTGTGTAGTATATGCTAGTTCACTGTTGGCAGTGGGATAGAGTGTGAGGTAATTGTGAGCCATGAGTATGAGTTTGAGCTAACCTTTGGCTGTGGTATTGATTATGAGTTTGAGCTAACCTTTGGCTGTGGTATTGATTATGAGTTTGAGTTAACTGTTGGCTGTGGTATTGATTTTGAGTTTGAGCTAACTGTTGGCTGTGGTATTGATTATGAGTTTGAGTTAACTGTTGGCTGTGGTATTGATTATGAGTTTGAGATAACTATTGACTGTGGTATTGATTATGAGTTTGAGTTAACTGTTGGCTGTGGTATTGATTATGAGTTTGAGTTAACTATTGGCTGTGGTATTGATTATGAGTTTGAGTTAACTGTTGGCTGTGGTATTGATTATGAGTTTGAGTTAACTGTTGGCTGTGGTATTGATTATGAGTTTGAGTTAACTGTTGGCTGTGGTATTGATTATGAGTTTGAGTTAACTGTTGGCTGTGGTATTGATTATGAGTTTGAGTTAACTGTTGGCTGTGGTATTGATTATGAGTTTGAGTTAACTGTTGGCTGTGGTATTGATTATGAGTTTGAGTTAACTGTTGGCTGTGGTATTGATTATGAGTTTGAGTTAACTGTTGGCTGTGGTATTGATTATGAGTTTGAGTTAACTATTGGCTGTGGTATTGATTATGAGTTTGAGTTAACTATTGGCTGTGGTATTGATTATGAGTTTGAGTTAACTATTGGCTGTGGTATTGATTATGAGTTTGAGTTAACTATTGGCTGTGGTATTGATTATGAGTTTGAGTTAACTATTGGCTGTGGTATTGATTATGAGTTTGAGTTAACTATTGGCTGTGGTATTGATTATGAGTTTGAGTTAACTATTGGCTGTGGTATTGATTATGAGTTTGAGTTAACTATTGGCTGTGGTATTGATTATGAGTTTGAGTTAACTATTGGCTGTGGTATTGATTATGAGTTTGAGTTAACTATTGGCTGTGGTATTGATTATGAGTTTGAGTTAACTATTGGCTGTGGTATTGATTATGAGTTTGAGTTAACTATTGGCTGTGGTATTGATTATGAGTTTGAGTTAACTATTGGCTGTGGTATTGATTATGAGTTTGAGTTAACTATTGGCTGTGGTATTGATTATGAGTTTGAGTTAACTATTGGCTGTGGTATTGATTATGAGTTTGAGTTAACTATTGGCTGTGGTATTGATTATGAGTTTGAGTTAACTATTGGCTGTGGTATTGATTATGAGTTTGAGTTAACTATTGGCTGTGGTATTGATTGTGAGTTTGAGTTAACTATTGGCTGTGGTATTGATTATGAGTTTGAGTTAACTATTGGCTGTGGTATTGATTATGAGTTTGAGTTAACTATTGGCTGTGGTATTGATTATGAGTTTGAGTTAACTATTGGCTGTGGTATTGATTATGAGTTTGAGTTAACTATTGGCTGTGGTATTGATTATGAGTTTGAGTTAACTATTGGCTGTGGTATTGATTATGAGTTTGAGTTAACTATTGGCTGTGGTATTGATTATGAGTTTGAGTTAACTATTGGCTGTGGTATTGATTATGAGTTTGAGTTAACTATTGGCTGTGGTATTGATTATGAGTTTGAGTTAACTATTGGCTGTGGTATTGATTATGAGTTTGAGTTAACTATTGGCTGTGGTATTGATTATGAGTTTGAGTTAACTATTGGCTGTGGTATTGATTATGAGTTTGAGTTAACTATTGGCTGTGGTATTGATTATGAGTTTGAGTTAACTATTGGCTGTGGTATTGATTATGAGTTTGAGTTAACTATTGGCTGTGGTATTGATTATGAGTTTGAGTTAACTATTGGCTGTGGTATTGATTATGAGTTTGAGTTAACTATTGGCTGTGGTATTGATTATGAGTTTGAGTTAACTATTGGCTGTGGTATTGATTATGAGTTTGAGTTAACTATTGGCTGTGGTATTGATTATGAGTTTGAGTTAACTATTGGCTGTGGTATTGATTGTGAGTTTGAGTTAACTATTGGCTGTGGTATTGATTGTGAGTTTGAGTTAACTATTGGCTGTGGTATTGATTGTAAGTTAGCTGTCGGCTGCAGAGCGGTATTGACCATGAGTTAACTGTTGGCTTTTGAGTGGAGTATGGTATGTGGCGCTTTACAACTGTATAACCCCATGTGTATGTTGTAAATTGTCCTATCCTGCTGTAACAAAAAATAAGCCTATAGCATAGTTATGTTGTGTGGACGAAGTTAAACAAAATGTACACATAATTTTTATTTTTTCATTTTTCCTTTTATAAATCTATTTATTTTTGTTGTTCATGCATCAATATGATACAGGTATTTCCTTCTGTTATGAAATTCAAGAATCTACATGTTTCAAGTATGATAGAAAATTGCATTTTTATAGCTTGGTAACAAACAAGCATACATTATTATACCAGTATGCTGACAAAATAAACCTAACACAGCTGTCTTTGGTTTTGTTCTTTGGCAAAAAAAAGAGAAAATAATTTAAAGAAAATAAGAAGCATCTGAAAGGATTCCACTAAAGTTTGAATGTTTGGCAAGTTTTGAATTTTTTATTTGATGTATAATGCAGTTTTCATTTTGCCAGGTAATATTTAATTATTATGTTTCCTTTTAAAGTGATAGTTAACTTCAGGGGTTTTTCCGACAATTTGAAAGTTGACATTTTCATCCAATATCATCTGTGAGGTACCTATTTATTCGTGAAATTCTTTGAATTAAAACCCTCATGAAAATAAGCAATTATGTAATAATAATTCTATTTATAGTGTAGGGTTCAAACAAATCAACGTGACTAAAGAACATAGATATTTAGTTACCATTTTCCTAGATTCTATCTGTGCCACTTTGATGCGTAGAGCCTCCTCTCCTCTCTTTCTTTCCTCTTCCAGACTCTCCTTGAGCATAACCTACAGTGATACGATACATTAACAACACACACTACAGTCATACGACAACATGTACAAATACAGTATCACTACATGTTGCCCAGTGTCTGACACTCTGTGGAACTATAGAAATTCAGTAACCTGTAAAGAAAGTTTTGACTATGTCTTCACCCCATATATTTCTTATTCTCAGTCATTTGAGATGTAAACAAGGCATTTGATTGGTCAATCGAAATTATTTGCGATGGTGTAATCACTACCGTATTGACCGCAAATAAGCCCCCTCTCGCAAATAAGCCCCCTCCCCACTTTGGCAAATGTCTTCCACATACTTCTCATTTGCATATAAAACCTGGATCGCGGTTGTTAATGACATCAACGAACCCGACCGATCCTGACACGTCATGAAATTGATTAGTAATGATACCACATAAAATAGTGTGACCTCGAAAGGTCAATATAATTCTGCCTCACTTTGAACGTTCCTGATGTCACCAATCCACAGCAGAGAGACCAAAGAGACCCAGAGAGATCTTAAAATCGCCCTTTATTTTGGTGATTATAGCTAATACGAATTAGAATTGGAATAATCCTACTGTTTTTTGAGATTTTCGGAAGCATATCATGACAATTGTTGATAATACCAAATTAGATGTAATTCTATTACATGTATTATACAATCCGAGACTGATTTTTTTTCAACGACATAGAAACGTTTGCTCAATTATACTGGAGAATCATCTATCAAATATAGTCAGATCTAGAAGCAAAAGTTTGTGGGGACCACATATAGAGATATTTATGGTGAGGTATCTATCTGACAGCAATTTCTGGCCTGGTAATAAGTCCACCCACAGCTACGTATACTGCAGTTCAATAGAAATGCAGACAATGCTTTTCCATTGCCTTGTAATGAGCCATCTCCCTTCTTTGAGTCAGAAATTATGTGCGGCCCCTGGGCTAAGGAGAAAGTTGATGAATGATGGATGACCGACACCATGCTATGACATAAGCTCACTTCAAAAAATAGATCATACCTGAAACTTTTCCCGTTGATCTGCAAGAGATTTCTGTACATTTTCTTGATGCTTCTGTTGTTCCTCTTGCAATTCCTTTTTAAACAATTCCTGAATAACAAACACATTAAGAAATACAACTTTCAAGTGAAAACATGCCACATACATTGTATATATTAGGATATTTTTTTCATTAAAATTAATAATCAACCTAAAAATATTATTAATCTGAAACTAAAGTTTTTACTGAAAGCAGTGTTTGTTTACGTTAATTTGGAATGGGGCCTTATTGTCTCATTTTGGAGGGACATATACTCAATAGGAAGGAAATTTTCAGGAGTTAACTGCAAATTTTGGGAATTCGGTATATTAAAACAAACATGAAAATAGTTTCAATTGGGAATGAGGCCCATTATTGGCCCAAAAATGTCCAAAGAAAGAAACACTGGAAGGAACTGGTTAAGGTCAGAAAACTACAAAATGTCTGTGAAACATGAATGATTTTCTTTGTCAAATCTATTTCAAACAGTCGAAAGTGATGTCATTTGTTTAAAATTTTAATTTAAACAAACAATAAACATGATGACAGATATAATACACAACCGAAAAATATCATAGACTAAATTAAACATGAAAGTAATTTCATACATTATGTCAAATCATGCATGTTCGACATATTCTGGGTTTTTTTTCTTAATTACTTTTTGAAGTTTTATTTGTCAATCAAACTGTGTCAAAAGCAGAACTGAAGTCTGATCTAGGAAGTGTATGATAACAAATAACCATATCCAATATAAATTCTGGTAATTATGGTTTAAGAACTAATTACTAATAAATATATTTTTCAAATATTGTAACTGTACATAAAAAGAACAAATGAAACTGTTGTGTCGGATAGATATTTCACCAAAATCCTACCTTCTGTTCTGACTGCTGCTTCCTATTTTTCTCCCGTTCTTCCTCTAACACTTCCATGACCTTCTTACCGTTTTCTCTTCTTTCTTCCTGCAACATCAAGTTGTGGAACAACAATTAATAAAAAAAAAAGTTTCCACAATTAAGGGAAAACTTTACTTCTGTATTGAAAATTGAATTTAAATAGTTGTGGCAGTAATTTCTTGAGATAAATTGTATGCACAGATTTAGATAATCTAAGAAATGTTTTGTTGGACAAAGAATGCAATGTTTTTTTTATTTGATATTAAATTGATTTGAAGGATCAAAGAGAAAAGTCAATAAAATAAAGATGTATGGTGAAAACCATACATTTAGCCAACTTTAATCTAAAGAAATATAAACTTTATTTGATTTACAACACTGATAAAACAAGTTACTTCAACTTGTATTCATCACACTTGTTGGCCAAGATGTTAGTGAATGGGAGTCTTCCTTTAGGAGGAAACAGGAGTACACAGTGAAAACCCAGGAGGTCAGGCAAGTGACCTCCTACATTTTCACAACCGATCGGGAATGGAACCCTGGCTAACTTGGTGAAAGGTGAGTGTATTATCCAATGCACCACCCAACCACCCTTTAATCATTAATCTGAACACAGAGATATCTGTTCCTGGTAATACTGTATCACTACCCAACAAGGCCAGCATTGTGTACAAGGTCAGTGTTCTATATCAATACAGTGATATCCATAAGATTGATAGAATCTTCGCCTACCTTGAGAGTGTGACAGAGAAATCTCCAACCCGAGGGGTGATGTTTTTTGGTTGTCTAACCCGAGGCTCTTATCTCCAACCCGAGGCTCTTATCTCCAACCGTGTGACAGAGAAATCTTGGTTGTCTAACCCGAGGCTCTTATCTCCAACCCGAGGCTTTTATCTCCAACCCGAGGGGTGATGTTTTTTTGTTGTCTAACCCGAGGCTCTGCTGAGGGTTAGACAACAAAAACTCATCACCCCTCAGGTTGGAGATTTCTCTGTCACACACCCAAGGTAGGGGATGATTATTTTTCTCCTATCCTATTATTTCAGTCACAGTTCTACCGACAGTAGTCTGCCATATTTGTAAACAAAACACATGTGGGGTATGCATATCGTCATTCACTTTTGATGACGTCAGAATTACCGATGACGCATTTTAATGACATCACAATTGAACACGTGCTAATCGGCACGAGGCTATCTCCCCCTAGGGGGTGACAAGCTGATTGTTCCCGGCTAAAGCGGGGGACACACCTGTGAAGGGTGGGAGAAATGCAAATGCCTACCTCTAAAGCACTCTGCAGATTATTCTGGTTTTTCTCTCGTTCCAAGTTCAGAAAATCTTCAAACTCTTTCTATAAAATAAAAAGGTTTCTTTAATAAATTACTACAGAATCATCATCAACATTAAAACCTTAAAAAAGAATGACTGCAGAATACAAGTTAAAAGACCAAAGGCCAGCACAATGCATAAAGATTCGATAACATCCAGAAATGTTTATCAAGACAGAGACTGAAGCTAAACTCTTTACCCTTGATCAATACATCCAAGCTCAGTAAATTTAACAATCAATATTTGTCGCTCAAATCTACTGCTCCAAAATCTCTGAGCTGTCATAAATAATTCATTTATACATATAAATATCAACAAATCTGTTAAATCAAAATAATTATCTTGAAGCTTTCTAGCTTAACCTAGCCTTCTTCTCTGGGCTACTTCAGATATTATAGATAGGGAGCAGGGCGATACTTGAAAAACCTTTTTGATAATTTATGGGCGTTATTGTCTTCAAATAGTTACAATGTATTAGCATATATATATTTGTACATTTATTTCTAAAATAACCCTTAGTAGAGAATCATTGTCAAATATTTGAAATATCATGAATTACTTATTGTGAAATATGAAAAATTGAATCATTCATTACCTGTAGCTCCTTTGACTTCTCCTTGAGAGCTGTCATCTTTGATTCTGACATTTTTGTTCGCTCCTCTTCTAATTTCTCTTCGAAATGAGATTGCTATTTAACAAGAATTTACATCACATCAATAAAGCATGCCTGTTTTCATTTGCAACAAGGAGTTCCAAGCCCTATATAATAATGATAAACGATCTTATATTTTCTCAAATTTGTAAAGAGTTTGCTCTGGTGAGAAATCTAAAAGGGGAGATCTTTTATATATGCTTGATCATGAAACAATTCAATGCTATCAATTTACACAGTACACTCCTTCTTACATGTAAAAATCTAAAACTTGTTTCAAAAATGAAAAGATACGACACATAGATTCTCTACAATCCAAAGCTCTCTGAAAACCAGACAAATCATGTGGTCAAATGGGGGAGGGGGGAAGAAAGGGAGGACATATTTCACTGTAGCAGGGATACTTTTATATTGGAAAAATTTCTTCAATTTTTAAGGGTTAGTAACTTTTGCCTTGTTCCTTTCGTTGGAGTTGGCAAGTTTGTAAGTTCAGATTATCACTTGAAACAGCACAAAATAAAATCAGTTTTCTTTAAAAAATTTACCTGTTCACTGAGCAAGCTTTTAAACTTGTCTTCTTGTTCCTTCATCAACACACGTACTTGCCCCTCCATTGCCTCTCGCTCGCTGCGAAGGGTGGTCTGCATTAATTCCTGAACAAATACACATAGTGTTGTTATAACCATTGAGTAATTATAATACTGAAAGAAGTGCTTTGTTACATTAATTTGGGATGGGGCCTTTTTGTCTCATTTTTGGATGAAGATATTACAGTTGGGAAGGAAATTTTCAGGAGTAAACTGCAAATTTTGGCAATTAAGGAATAGATATGAAATAGTTTTGATTGGGAATGGGGTTCACTATCGGCCCAAAAGACTCCAGAAAAAAAATGGAAGGAAACTACAAAATGCCTGCGAGACATCAATGCCTTCACTCCAATGCAAATTAGTGTTATTGTTGAAAAAAATGTCCATAAATAGTAATATCGATTTTTGTGTTGACCTTGAATCATATAATTCTCTTCAACAGTAATTGACCTTTGTGTATTGTCTGATCAAAAAACAGTAAAGAAATTTAGTCTCTAGCGATAGGGTAATGACACAAAATTGAGATAGCTAGGACAGGAATGAGTAATCTTTCTTGTTCCCCATGCAAGGGCATAAATCAGAGTAGAAAAGCAATTCATTTTCAAACAGGTTAATAGTCAAAGGTCAAACAGAGATCCAAACATATTTCCTGTGAATTGGTGTTGGCTATATACAATTGCAACAAGCTATACACGGAAACTTGAAACACTGTCCATTGATCAATTACCTTATATTCTTGTACCACTGTTTTGACTGCAGCCTGACTTTCTGACCGGATCTGTTTCATCTCCTGCATCACAGCCGTGTTAGGTACGGTGCCTACATTGCTGTTTGACAATGTTTCCTCCTGTCACCAACATAAATAGAAATAGCTGTCCAACTTTTCATGGTCTCTTACTGTGTGCACAATCAAATGTTAATAAACCATACATTATTTCTCTAATTTTAAGATTAGATGACTGTAAAAGTTTAAGCAGCAGTTGTACATTATCAGTTAATTTATTCAAGGTCGACTACTGTTTTATATATTATACCTGTGATTTTGGTAGGAGTTAAGGGAATAGGTTACATTACACATAATACCCATGATTAGTATTAGAGCGTAAGTTATATACAGGTACTACCTTAAACATTGTATCTGTAATCTGCATTTGAATTAAGGTTATATACATACTACCCAGGTACCTTACTTTCTAAACCCGTGACACACTATACCAATCAAAGGTATATTCATTAGCTGTTACCTTACATTTTATGCATGTTATCTCCTAATTATATTATTAACATTAACATTTCACATGATTCCACAAAAAATGAATATGGCCAATACCTGTCTTTTTGATGTGAGCCCTGCCACACTAGATGGAATGCTTGATGGTGGGGACCCCTGTCTGCTACTAGATGTCTCATTCAGAATTGTCGTCTTAGCAACACTGACACTTGTCGGAATTGAACTGAACACATCGGATTCCCAAGCGTCTTGTTTAAAGGAATTGTCACTGGACACAGAGACTTTCCTTTCCGTAACGGTATCTGTCCCGGACGATAACCTTCGGTCGAAAGAGAAAGAATTTGATCCTCGTGACCTATCAATGTTTGTCTGAGGTATGGATGCCAGCTCTGTTTGAGACACATTTTGAATTGCACCTTGCCTTCGAACAATGGAGGAGTCAATTTGATTTTGGCCTTGAACAGAGTTTTGGCGGGAACCTTCAAGAGGTACCGAGTCATGTCGTACTAATCTCTTCTGACTTTCTGCGGAATTTTGAAGGCCGACAGAAGATGGACGATTGCACCGACTACTGGGCACGGTGTTTGATGACTGCGGACTGGACACAGGGAAAGAAGGTAGGAACTGACCATCAAGGATGTTGTTGGCCAATGTCACCTCATCTAGGTTGATGTCCTGGCAAATCAAGTCACATTTATGTTAGGTGTCATCAAATTGAAAAGCAAACAAACATGAAAATGATAACAAAATTAGAATGTAAAAGTGCCATCAATTCTATCAGTGTGATATATTAAAATGTATTATATCAGATACATGTAATGAGTTTGATATATCTAACAATCACCACTAGTTTAAGTCTATAAAGTGTCTATTCCTCATTTCTTGCTTCTTCTGTGAATATTGCAGATAACTAATCATTCAGTGATTAAAAAAAAAACATTAATCCGATTTTAGAAGCAAATGTATTAAAGAAAAAAAACAATAAAAAATGTTTGGGATGTAAAAGGAACATGTACCATAAGGAAATTTTGAGTACTCAAACATGAATATCTTATCATATCAAAGTTTTACTTTCTACACAATCAATGTACTTATTAAATGTGTCGCAACGTTTCAAGACTGACTGGTCCCTTTATGAAGCTAGTCGGTCTTGAAACGGTGCGACACACTTAATGCGTACATTGTTTGTGTATGAAGTGAAACTTTGATATGACATATTTCCAAACTGATGAATATGAATATCTTATCTTTGACATTAAATTACCTTACAGATAATTTAAACAACAGCAGGTTTCATATAGATTTTCAAGAAATTTACTTTTTTTTTGTAATTAAAGGGATTGTTTTTTTATGAAATTTTAAGATTTTTATACAATTAGATATATGCATTAGGTTATATGTATATATAATTTACCCATAAATGGTAAATTAAAAAGTTGTCTCAGATTGCTCCCTGAATAGACAATGACAGTACTGTATTGCTGTTCCTGGTCACTTACCAAGGGATCACTTGCTCCAGTGGGGAACTGGACATCAAAAGCCTGAAAAGGGGGAGCACTCGCACTAGCCTCTTCTACATGCTGGCCCGTGGCCCCGTTCTGGTTTTGGTTTGACGCCCCCTGGCCTCCAGTCACGGTGGGATCAAGAACCTCCGGGAACTTGTTTTCTCTACAAAGTAAATCTGGTTTAGCTCCAACAGCACTGTAACCTGCATGGACATCAAAGAAGAAAACAAATGACATTTAATAAAAGAAATCTTGTTTATACTTGCCATTATCATTTCCATAATCTTAACTCCATTTATCATGAACAGTGGTGTAAAATTCCACTAAATGGACACTACAAAGACATTAATTAACTCACGGGAAGACACTGAGATAAGATCAGACGACTTCAAGAAGGTCGTATATAAGGCGCATGGAATGCAGACTGATGTGTTATTTTTACCGACCTCACCTGTACGTATCACGTGCTAACAGTAGTTTACAAGCTCTTGGTCGCTACGACTTTTGTTGTCGAGCGAGTTACGCTCTGTAAAAATGCAATTACAATAACTCTGTGAAAATAGTGGTTTGTAAAATATCAAGATCCCTATAAAAGTGCATGTGCGTGCACGTGATAACGGCATACCATGCGATAGCCTATGTATACCATACGTAAGCGGTCTATGGAATGATGTCGAAAGTGTACATGATTGAGAATAATTTTGTTCCATAAAAGAACAGTAAATTGACAATCAAATATAGCAATTTAATTAATTTCCATCGTTTTTGGTATAGTAAAGAAAGTAAGTGTCATTGTATAAATTCCATCCCTCTGCAAAAAGTTCCGATTTTTTTCAAGGTAGACATCAACTCTCACCAGGATCAAAATTATTGTAAAATGTAAAATAAATGAATTATAAAGACTTCGTGTGTATTTGGTTCAATTTTTCAATCTTTTTGTTTGAATCTATGTGTCCTAGCTGTTTGGTTTTAGCTTGTATTTGGATACAATTTCAATAAAAAACGCTTTTTGTAACATGATGTAGATATTTTATGATAAATAAAATATTTAAAGGGTTGATTAGCAATGTTTCTTTTCATTATCTTATTGTTGTAATAGTTTTGAACAATGCCATACACTCAAAAAATGTAAAAGTGTTGAATTTGACAAAAATTCGATTTTTGAGTATTTTTTACCAAAAAATCCCCAGTTTAACGGAATGCTTAGATTTTCATAAAATCATCTCTACATAGTGACATAACCATTATATGAAACTTTCATTTAATTCTGCTGGCTAATTGCGAAAGGGTGGAGCCTCTTTAAACTGTAGTGAATATTTTTTTTTACAATTACCATGCAGGCCTAGGGTGTACAACTCTAATAGCCTTACTCCTAGGGCTAGTAGATCTAGATCTGATATATAGTATGTAGGCTTATAACAACAATTGATCATTACTAAGAAAATATAGGTTGCGCTAGTAGAACTTTTCAAAATCCAACTATGGCCTAAATGTGAAATTGTTGACAGGTTTCGCGCCTACATGAATCCGCCCTTACGGGTTTCATCTCACTGACGGAAGTCAGTGTTCTGTCGGCGTGAGGGAAGTTGCCTTCCCTCGGGGGGTGGTTTGGTGTCGTCTATTCTATCTTATCCTTATCTTGTGATGTAATTTGGAGACGACTCCTTGATCCGAAATGGTTTGTCGCGCTGGATGATGCAGTTTTGGTTGTTGATCCTTACTAATGTATAGGTGTCGTTGATGGGGTTCGAAATTGGCCAATATGGCTTATATTAATGTATATATGTACATAAAAAATATAATTATTTGTATATTTTGAAAGTCAAGGGTAATTTATTTTGGTAGGGCCCTTAGATACTGACCCGTTGTGATCAGTGCCCAGGGGGATGGGCTAGCTTCCTGTGTCAGTCCTGATTGGCCTGTACTAACGACAGGTGCCTGGGAAACGGGTTCAGCTGCCTAGATTAAACATACAATACTTCTATGGTTAATCAATATGAACATGTACATTGTATACAGCCAACTGTCATGACTGTACAGTGAACTACGCCTCAACTAATTCACCCCTGAAGACGCATTTGAACTCTTCCGATTCAAAGGTTGGAATAGTTCATTATGAAAATTCAGGGGTGAATGAGTTAATTTCGTAACAAATAGGTTTCTACCGTTGTCAAATCATGACTCCAGAATAATTGAAATAAATGCATTTATAAATATTTCTACTAGCTGGACAGGTGTTATATACATAATTAATCTCCATAATATATATGAAAATCTAGTATCATACATGCAGTGAATAAATGTCTTAGTCATCTCGTTTATTTTTATAATTACTAATAAAAGATAAATATTACAACCCATTTGACATTTGTCCCTAATTATGTACATGTATGTATACACTATTTTGATTTTTGCAGTTCGTATTACATAACTTCCAAAACTGGACAAAACATGAACGGCTGTATCAATTGAACTGCATATATTAATGATTATCCAACTTACATCCCCATACTGAGATTGGAATTTCTATAAATATCAAGGAGATTTGACTTCAAACCAGAACTTTAATGTAATCCTGTGTAATGTTTGTTAATATAAGGGGTAAGTTTTGGTGAATGTTTTGGATTAAATTATTTGAATCTTAATTTGTATAATTAGGGATTTCCATTTTGGAAATCCTATTGTTAGTATTCTGTTTTTTTCTTATTATTAGGGATTTCCATTTCGGATGGAAATCCCTATTGTTATTGTTTAGTTTTTTCTTATTGGGGATTTCCATTTCGGATGGAAATACCTATTGTAGGTCACAGATCTAAAAATGGAGTTTTTAAAAACGTTTTTCAAACGACCATAACTTTGAATGCTTTCGTTGTACTGCTTGAACGCTTCATACCTCTGGTAGATCTTGGTCGGGGCTAACTTTTTTCCGTGACATGTTAACAGAGAATATGTCAAATTCAAAGCCCGCTGACCTCCAAGCACCAGTCACTATGACCCCTGAACTACTTCCTATCATCAGTCGCTGTAATCGCTGACCTCCAAGCACCAGTCACTATGACCTCTGAACTACTTCCTATCATCAGTCGCTATATATAACCGCTGACCTCCAAGCACCAGACACTGTGACCCCTGAACTACTTCCTATCATCAGTCGCTATAACCACTGACCTCCAAGCACCAGTCACTATGACCCCTGTGAACTACTTCCTATCATCAGTCGCTATAACCGCTGACCTCCAAGCACCAGTCACTATGACCCCTGAACTACTTCCTATCATCAGTCGCTATAACCGCTGACCTCCATGCACCAGTCACTATGACCCCTGAACTACTTCCTATCATCAGTCGCCATAACCCCTGACATCTTATCAAACTAAGAAGCACGGCTACCTCTTACACCTTAGCCCTCTCTTGTTACAATTATATCTAAAAAGAGATTAATAAAATATTTTACTTGTAACTGAGCAAGATCGGGTTATCGCAGTCGAGGGCTAAGACTCTGTAACATAATCCCAACCGAGACGCAAGCCAAGGTTTGAATGTTACATATTCTTAGCCTGGGACTGCGATTACCCGATCTTGCTCAGTTGCAGGTATCTTTTTTTTGCGCACCTTTTAGTTAGAAAACAATCTATTAAATTTTGCAAAAGACAATAAGCTAGTCCGTCCTCACAAAGAAGACAACGTATTTCACAGTGTAGAATATATTTTATCTACAACATCAAATATCCAACAACTTCATCATATAACGACAAAACAGAACATTTATGATGCAGAATGACAAGTTCAAGTCGTTACCGCGCAGATGAATACATCGTAGTGTAAGAAATATCACGTAAAGGTATCAGACAGATCGGACGAGATAGAACAATCTAGCATGTGTTATGACGTGGGATAACTCTGTTATAGGTACGAGAAAATACAATTGTAAAGGGGTTATATAATTACTTCATGTACACTAAACAACAATGGAATTTCCTATTTAATGCTGTGGATCATGTATTTGTTAACGATGCTTTGTGTCAGTTCATTTTGTCATCTTTCCTTTGTGTTAATATCTAATGTCTCTGCAGAGCTGTAGAGTTATGTATTTTAAGTTTGCTTTTCTGTGTATTAAAGAACAGCAATTGAACAATTTGCTGTTATTGTTTACCCCTGAAATGTTCTGGCATATTATCAAAACAAATTACCTCAAATCCACCAAAGTCATCGAAATCATCATCCATCACTAGGTAATATATGGATCTGAAATAATAAAAATAAAAACATGCAGAATTAGAAAAATATTTGACATAGTTTTCTGCATTAGGGTTGTTAAACTGGGTCTTCAAATCTTATTCTTCTAAACATAACTCATACAGTTACCGTATATATCCTCGTGTTACCGGTTTCAGCGCACTTAAGAAGCAACTGCGATGTCGTTCTTACATCGGCAAAAACTGTTGAAATTACGGATGACTGCAGTCATGTATACAATCTACTAATGGAAACAAAAAACTAGCAACATAAAACCGTATTTTAAAAAAATCAGAACAAGCAGTCATATGTTTCCGTGTGTCTATTTTGATTTAGTGTTCAAAGAAAGATAACTCGAATACACTAAAAATATATTCCCCCTAGTGGCCTGCCTGAACAAAAGCTTAGTTTGGTATAAAAAAATATCTTTGTTCGTCAAATTTATCATCAAAACAGATTTTTAAGAATTTCACATTTTTCAATGTGTCAACTTGAACGAATACATGTAGTTTTATAAATTTGTTTATTTTACTTTAATATTAAGTTATGATAGAATCTGTTATTGTTTTTTTGTGCAGTCTTATATCAGTTTTGGTTGATGGCGAGTTATTTCTCATTTTATTCTGTTTAAAATAGGTGAAAATTGGAAGTTCAATGCAATACAAGGTTTACGTTTCAATGCAAATAGTGTTTATATATTGATATAAGAATGTCTCCTGTAGGCTCTTCGGAAGTGGAAAAAAATTGGCAAGGAGATGTGGCATCATTTGCGTACATCATTTTTGTACGTTTGTCAGGCTACAAAAAAAAGGCTGGTTCATGAAGGAAATAAATCACCGTTTTTTCACGTATGGGCTCATTTTGAGCAAGATGAAAAGTGCTTATTTATGCGTATTTTTTTAATCAGTGATTATTTCTTATGTTTTTTGGACGAACTTCCGGTATTTTTTGTGTCAGTTTACAGTTGATGGCCAAACGTCTAAAATATCCTTATGCTGTGTCCAGCAGGTCACGTAGTTACGAGATATAGCTTGATAAAATGGTTGCGCGGAAATACATAACGCGCGGAAACATGACTAGACGATATATGGACTAGACCACCGCGTACCACAATTAGAATATCAAAGTCAGAAAACAGCTTTGTCTAAAAAAAAAATCAAAAATCAAAACATATTGAATTGTTAAGTAAAAAAAATAATGTTCCGATAAGTATACAATCTACTGCATCTGTATTGTTAGATTTTCTATGACCAACTTTCAATGTAAACAAACAGGTGTCCCTTCGTATCCAGAATAGATATCATGTCTGTATTCAGGACAATTGCAATCTTCAGTAAAAACGACACCTTTACCTCGATAGACCTTATTTCCCAAGCAATAGAAAAACCCGATATGCCGAGACTAAGTTATGGCCTACCTTCCAACTACAAATATTGACACGACTCAGAACATGGAAGCTGACATGTTTACTTTGACTCATGGGAAATAAATATTTTACACGATGAATAACGTCCCTGATAACGTGTTGTTCGTTTTACAGACACAATCGCTGTATCTTTGGATATCATTAACAATGAATAAGAAAAAAAACATGATTGTCACGTAGAAAGATATGCTTCTTGGGTCCTGTCTTTTCATGTAATTAAAATTAATCATCGTGGAACGATTTTACATTAGCCAATCAATTTACGAGAAATTATACAGTGCGTCATATCGGCCTTTGAACTGTGACCCAGAAATGAGTTACCTTTGGCCTTGACCACGGTTTGACGGTGTAATGGAAAATGTTTCCACAGCGGAAGAAACTTAAGGGTGTTTTAAACAAATATTAAGGCCTGTATACCGAAAGTAAGTATTTTATCTTTGTTCAGAGTATATAGTCTTTCATAAACTGTCTGATCTTTTATACATAGTTTTGTCGATATCGACATTTTGTTGTTATTGTGTAAGTGGGTTGGGTCGTCTCTCTACTGTACAGTACAACTTGTCGGCATAATCCAGTATTGGCGATAAACCATTTATTGATTTTCTTCAATTTCCCGCTTCTTATTTTCGGTTTTCGCGGACGATACAGACGCACGTTTTGTCATGATTGTGCATATATGCACATTAGCCATGAATCAAACTGTTATGTCATCCTAGATATTTCAGAATCATCTGCAGCAGTCGTGCACCGGCTGGCTTGACTGATTCTTAGGTACACGAGTGGTCTCCCCTGATATAATGTTTGCACTGTTGCCAATGGGACGCCGTTTGTACTATACTGGTTATTCACTATTCAGTACGTTGAAGTATCCTTAAACTTATTTATCTCACTTCTTAGTCGACATTTAATTTAAAACAACCACACTGTACCTGTACTATTGGTCATACTCCACCATTTTTAATCCGTCAATGGCATTGTAAACAACATTGATTGGGATGGGAAGTGTTTAACAGTACTGTCTGTAGTGAATGAAATAGCGTTTATAGGCGATCAATATTCAGTTGAAGATCAATATATGGTGACAATAACTACTAACTAGGTCGCTCAGTATAATGTGCATTGTAATAAGAATTAGTAGCTTTAGAAGTTCTCTGTTTATATCAGCATCACCATATTTTAAAAAAAATGAGCAAATGTACAATGTTAGGTAGCCCAAGTTTCCTCTAGCCCTGACAGATAGATGTCTGGTGTCCGGGCCAGAGGAACTCTGGGCCCGGGGTACAGTAACACTGACAACAAAGATGGTGCTCCTTCTTTTTCATCTGTGTTTTTTAATGCTTATTTGTTTGGCCTCAAACCATTCCCTTGATAGGAAAAATGTCATTGATGAAAATGGCTTACAGACGTTTTGGTATTATAGTTATTTCTACTTACACTGATGTGTTTTTGGTACTTTCCAAAAGTTGTTTCCATATTTCATAACATTCTTTTAAATTTGTACGTGGTTTACTTTTGATGTCATTGTGTGTTGCCTATTAAAAACTAAATATCTTTAACCTACAATGTATAGACCATCTTTGCATAAAGTATATAGTCCAAGAAGTAAAATAATTTGGGCAGTTCATCTGCCCTTTTTATATGTAAAATAATCTTACTATCAAAGACAATGTACCAGATTGTTTGTAAGAAGTTGAAGCTATTAGATTTACAAATCTTAATTCATTGTATTTAATTAATTGAATTGAACAAAATATATATTCCAATTGTTCAGCTATTGTACTTGGAGTTCGGGAGTGTTATATTACAGTACCATATTAAAAAGGAATTGTCATCTCTATGAAATATCATAAGCTTGTCATAGTAGCAGTGACATCCAAACAGGTCACATAATTCTGACAATGACCAGCTAGGCGGACACATACAAAATAGAATTTAATTTGATTTAAACGTATAATTGTTCCAACGGAGGTACGTATTTGTTCTATGAATAAAATAGCTTGATATGTAATTTGTATATAACATATGAAGTTAGGAGGCACGGTAGTCTAGTGGTAGGATGCCGGGCTCGTGATGGAAGTGTTGCGGGTTCGAGGCACAGCACTGTGGCTCAAAGATATTTTACTCCGCTTGTTCCAGTCTACTCAGCTGTAAATGAGTATGTGGTTGGGCAGTGCTAGAATTGTTGAACTACGAACTAGGTTGTGATAAAGCGGTATATAAGAACCTCGAATTATTATTATTAAGACCAGAACAATTTAAGGTCCAATGGTCCTAGCTAGGGGCTAGTAGATTTGGTCTGCGTGGCCATGGGCAAATGAAAAATAATGGATCGAGTTTCTTTATATAATTAGTTACCAGACAGACCACTGAGACCAGTGTGAAATTTTGCAGTGAATATTCGTATGTTCACAGCATATACTTTATATACTGCTGGTTTTAGTATTGAATAAACCATGAACAGGTTAAATAATTATAGCTTTGTTTTTTGTTAAAAGACCATGATAAAAAGCTAAAATTACCATTTATTGTACTTGCTTGAATATGTACATGTAATATATATATATGTGTGGATAATTTTGATCAAGTATAACATTTCACCTCTGGACAAGCACTGTAGTTTTCCAAATCCTCTTGGCTGAATTGAAGGATCAATTAATGCTTTTAACAACTTTGTTCCAGTCCTAAAATAACATTAGTATGATTGTGTCATGTAAAATTGATTTATCAAATATAAGGAATCCCCATGGTTGAATTGTGCTTTGATTAATTGTGAAAATGATGTCAACTGGAACACTGGTATGATATATACACTATAAATATATACATGTAATCAATTATACCAGCATGACCTATAAACCTCATATACTTATCGATCGATACAAGTTAAATGTTTGTATTGTGTTTTATTTTTGGTCACTGTATTTATAACATATACCCTATTAACATGACACTTTTAAGTACATGTACATGCACTCCTGAACTAGATCCACTGATAGCATTTGCACATATCAGGATTTTAGATCTTCAAGTAGTTGGCCCAGTTTTAAGTCGAGTAGCTATATGGTATACGTTTTCTACTATTGACCATGGCTGTGGCTTTCCGATATACATAGGAATACATGCTTGATTACACTGACAGTAGCTTATGTCACCATTAAAAATCTTCCTGTTTGGATTATAACCCCGACCAAGGATTTTAGGTTTGGAATGGAAGCTTAAGGTGCATTTGCATATACAGGTCAAATATTTTGTTTATCTGACAAAGAAAAAAAACCCAGTAACTTTAATCAACTGCTATCAGTAGAACCAATCAACAAAAACAACATGGATGCATACATTCACCACCTTGACACAGTTACATAATTATCATTTTAAATAGTCAATTTTTTAAATGTCAGGAAAACACTTTTCAAACAGCTCTTTTTTTCTAAATTGGGACAGAAGGTATATATATATATATATATATAAATAAAAAAAAACCACGAAGACTAGTATAATCGGCTAGTGCTTTCTTTGGGCATCTTGGGGCTCTTCAAGTGATTTAAATTTGTTTGTGATGTCATAAATGGAGTACGCATACTTAAGACGTCAAATATATTGACATCATATACAAAGAACACATAATGCGGACGTCTATTATTATTTATCGCTATATATATCTATATATTTATATTACTCTTGGATTTAGCAGCCAAAATTCAATCAAAATTAAAGGATATTTCTACCCCCAAGGTACTAAAAATGCCGGTACATATATATGTATAGTGACATCATTAACAATTGAAGAAATTGAGATACTTTTTAAGATGTTTGTGATCAAAATATCTGTTATGAACTTTGTGATAGTCTTTATAATTTTTGACATAGATATAAACTATTACCACTTAAACTTTGATTTGTGTATATATGTAGGTAAAGGTACTCCAGATTATGTAAATCAGGTAATGCCGTAATCTTTGTACCTGAATACGGACAATAGTTGTTCAAAGTATATAGTATCACACGCGCACCTTGGCATGTATATAGTAAGTGTGTACTACTTACGGTAAACACCATGCAGTTAATCATACGAACAAAGCCATATTACAAGTTTTATTAAAATACAGCTGTAAAGCACATGAGTAATATTAATTCCATCTTTTCAATTAAACGTCGTAATGAATTTTTATAATTTCATTAATTTTACCTAAAATGATTCACTAGTACTGCTTTCTTGAATCGAAGTTGATGGGAAATAAATTATCACTATTTGAAAAAGGTACATATAAATCAGGTGTTTGATCAAGTACATTTCTGTATGCATTATGTTCTTTTAAAGCATGGTTTTTGGTAAAGTTCCAATTAAATAATAAAACTTCCTTAATCTTAATGTAGATTAACTTATTTGTGCAATATTTTCAACAAAAATTAGTGAATTTATAACATTCAATGTGCCAAGTATTATATAACATGTAATGGCCAGAAATTTCAATTTGGCTCAATGGTTGTGTTTGATTTAAGTGAATGTATGTGAATGTATATAAGAACTTCAAATTATCGAATTATTATTCATTGCTTACACAATCAATTATTATGAAGAACATATATGTGATGTCACCCCATGAGAGATGTCACAGTCATATCATCTCTTGAGTGATGCTTTACCCGGTAGTTACGAATGTCACCCCAAAGTGATGCCATATGAATGTCACCCCAAAGTGATGTCATAGGAATCTCACCCCAGAGTGATGTCATAGGAATCTCACCCCAGAGTGATGTCATAGGAATCTCACCCTAAAGTGATGTTATAGGAAGCTCACCCCAAAGTGATGTCATAGGAATGTCACCCCACGGTTATGTCATAGGAATCTCCCCCCAAAGTGATGTCATAGGAATCTCACCCCAGAGTGATGTCATAGGAATCTCTCCCCAGAGTGATGTCATAGGAATCTCAGCCCAGAGTGATGTCATAGGAATCTCAGCCCAGAGTGATGTCATAGGAATCTCAGCCCAGAGTGATGTCATAGGAATCTCTCCCCAGAGTGATGTCATAGGAATCTCTCCCCAGAGTGATGTCATAGGAATCTCAGCCCAGAGTGATGTCATAGGAATCTCAGCCCAGAGTGATGTCATAGGAATCTCAGCCCAGAGTGATGTCATAGGAATCTCAGCCCAGAGTGATGTCATAGGAATCTCAGCCCAGAGTGATGTCATAGGAATCTCACCCCAGAGTGATGTCATAGGAATCTCAGCCCAGAGTGATGTCATAGGAATCTCAGCCCAGAGTGATGTCATAGGAATCTCACCCTAAAGTTATGTTATAGGAAGCTCACCCCAAAGTGCTGTCATAGGAATGTCACCCCCAGAGCGATGTCATAGGAATGTCACCCCAAAGTGATGTCATAGGATTCTCACCCCAAAGTGATGTCATAGGTATGTCACCCCCAGAGTGATGTCATAGGAATATCACCCCAAAGTGATGTCATAGGAAGGTCACCTCAGGGCTTTGTCATAGGGATCTCACCCCAGGGTTATGTCATAGGAATCTCCCCCCAAAGTGATGTCATAGGAATGTCCCCCCAAAGTGATGTCATAGGAATGTCACCCCAAAGTGATGTCATAGGAATGTCACACCCAGAGTGATGTCATAGGAATGTCACCCCCAGAGCGATGTCATAGGAATGTCACCCCAAAGTGATTTCATAGGAATCTCACCCCAAAGTGATGTCATAGGTATGTCACCCCCAGAGTGATGTCATAGGAATGTCACCCCAGAGTGAATCTTCGTAGGAATGACACCCCAGAGTGATTTCATAGGAAACATTCAAATGTCACCCCCAGAGTAATATCATTGGAATTTTAACACAGGTTGATGTCATAGGAATGCCCCTTCCTCCTATAACCAGAGAGATGTCATAGGATTGTCACCCCAAAGCTCATTTCACATATGCCGAGTGGTAAAATGTCATCCCCAGAATAATGTCACAAGTATATTATATTTCTCCCTGTATATATGTCAACCCATAATGCTGTCACATTCATAGTGCTAACCGGAGCATATAGCTACAGTACTGTATATTGTATGTATATATATATGTCTGTTCCAAGCTGTTTTTAAGATTTCCATATAAAAAAATCTTGTACAGCTATAGATATATACATGTATGTAGATATATATACATGTACAATGTAGCGCCACTATCAGTTCAAGGTGAAATTAAAAAGCTATCATGAAGAGCGTTTTTTTTACACATTCTGTGTATTTCCTGCATGACAGTCCTGGTGACTGAAGAAATCCTATTTATTATTTCTAAATTAACAAACACAGGTGTTATCATAACTAATAAACTTATGGATAATTACAATACCTGATCATAATGATATTAAATTTAAACTTACAGGTAAGTCAGTGATGAACATTAATTTACATAGATAGAATAGACAGGTAAATCAGTGCTGATGATGAGATAGGTAGAACAGACAGGTAAATCAGGGATGACAGTGAAACAGGTAAAACATAGGTAAACCAGGGATGACATTAATACAGGTAAAACAGACAGGTAAATCAGTGCTGACAATGACACAAAGGTAAAACAGACAGGTAATTTTAAATCAGTGCTGACAAAGAGATAGGTAGAACAGAAAGGTAAATCACGGAAGAAAATGAGATAGGTAAAACAGACAGGTAAATCAGGGATGACAATATTGATACAGGTAAAACAGACAGGTAAATCAGGGATGACAATATTGATACAGGTAAAACAGACAGGTAAATCAGGGATGACAATGATACAGGTAAAACAGACAGGTAAATTAGGGATGACAGCTGGATACAGGTAAAACAGACAGGTAAATCACGGATGACAGCTGTGATACAGGTAAAACAGTCGGGTAAATCAGTGCTGACATTGATACAGGTAAAACAGACAGGTAATTATAAATCAGTGCTGACATTATTATAGGTAAAACAGACAGGTAATTATAAATCGGTGCTGACAATCTGATGACAGTGATACAGGTAAAGCTAAGGTAAATCAGGGATGACATTGATACAGGTAAAACAGACAGGGAAATCAGTGCTGAAAATGACATCAAGGTAAAACAGACAAGTAAATCAGTGCTGAAAATAACATCAAGGTAAAACAGACAGGTAAATAAGTGCTGACAATGAGATAGGTAGAACAGACAGGTAAATCAGGGATGGCCGTGAAGTGCTGACATCATTTTAGGTAAAACAAACAGGTAAATCAGCGCTGCCATTATTATAGGCCTAGGTAAAACAGACAGGTAAATCAGGGATGACAGTGAAGTGCTGACATTAGAATAGGTATTTCAGTGCTGACATTATTATAGGTAAAACAGACAGGTAATACAGGGATGACAGTGAAGTGCTGACATTAGTATAGGTAAATCAGTGCTGACATTATTATAGGTAAAACAGACAGGTAAATCAGGGATGACAGTGAAGTGCTGACATTAGTATAGGTATTTCAGTGCTGACATTATTATAGGTAAAACAGACAGGTAAATCAGGGATGACAGTGAAGTGCTGACATTAGAATAGGTATTTCAGTGCTGACATTATTATAGGTAAAACAGACAGGTAATACAGGGATGACAGTGAAGTGCTGACATTAGTATAGGTAAATCAGTGCTGACATTATTATAGGTAAAACAGGCAGGTAAATCAGTGCTGCTATTATTATAGGTAAAACAGACAGGTAATACAGGGATGACAATGATATATAGGTAGCTCTGTGTTTGGATACAAAACACAGTGGTACATAAAGATAAACTGTTGCAGTACAGATACTTGAGACTACACAAAGCTGCATTTACATGTGGTTTCTCCCACAGAGGTCGGTCACATATTCTACATTTTTCTATATGCATGAACAACTAACCTTATGCATATGATGCAGCAAGTCTACTGGGTGACCTATATGCAAACATGTATAGGCTGAAATTTAAGAAAAACTAAGTCATATATTTTTTCCATCCTATTTGTATTTGTGGTTTGTTCGTACATATTGTAGATCTCAAATTATGCTATATGAAATGCACGGATGCACTGTCAGGTCAGGTACCTTTTTTGACCCATTTGACGGGACCATTCCCGATTAAAGATTGTGTCATTTTTTTCTGATTTGTCCCTTTAGAATTCCCGACTGGGAAACCAAATTGTGTGGTTGCAACTCAGATATTATCAATATATATTTTAAACGTACATTTTACATGCATGAGCATGTCATATGATGTTCAACTTAAGATATCAATACTGCATGGGTCCATGAAATATTTGAATTTACAGGTACTCCTAAATATTACTGTGTCTGCTGCAGCAAGTTCGATTCAGGGACCAAACTTTTAAAAGAGCTAGCATTAATTGTATTGCCTTCATTCTGTTTCATAGCTTATGTGATAAGCAACGTTTGATTATTAAAACATTTGATATATTGAGGGAATTGATGCAGCAAATTTAGCTGTGACCATGTGTTAACTTCCACGTGTACAGTAATATAAGTAGTATTTATATTGACGCCTGTTGCATGTGTATTTAGAAAATGAATTCTTTCTCCTCTAGATCTTTAGATTGTATATGACCACAGCTGGTGAGGAAGTTAGTTGTAAACCACAATATGTTGAACTGTCTAGTCACTCTTCATTGTATTGCTGACTTTGCTAGACGTACTTTCGCTTTTTACTCATTCACCCCTGAAGTTTCATAATGAACTATTCCAACCTTTGAATTGGAAGAGTTCAAATGTGTCTTTATATATAGGGGTGAATGAGTTAACTCATCAGTCGGTAGAGTGCTGAACTTGTCTGTAGTTCTGGGTTCGACTCCTAACAGAGGCTATAATATGTAGACATTAACTCATGATCATTCACCTCTGAAGACACATTTGAACCCTTCCGATTCAAAGGTTGGAATAGTTCATTAAGGATTTCAGGGATGAATGAGTTAAGTGACCTCAGTGACATGGAAATGTTTATCGCTTTGTAACACTATTGTTGCTAATCATGATCAGAGGTCAATCGTTACTTTGTAACTTTTGCTGGTAATTTAAGTTAGAGTTTAAAACATCAGTACACACATATATATATATATATACCTACTGGTACATTATAGTATGGGTAATCATTGTAACTTCATTTTTCATTATGTCACTATGAAGGTCACTTATATTCCTACAGAGCTCAAAAGAGTTGAAGAAGCACTTTAGGATTGTCCGGTCTCGTCAAATGTTGGCGTTATTTAATTTATATCAACCTATATATACTAGCCACTATAGGACAATTTGAAAGTAAAGTGTTTTAGCTACAGTATAAAATAAACTTATATTAATATCTATAATTATATCTTTTATGATCTTTTGTCCATTTCAGGTCCGTTTCAGTGTTCTGTGCCATCAATACCGGAACTGCAATTAATATCACCATCTGATTTTCGGAATTCTTAAACATCTGTACTAGATACAAAAAGTGCCAACTAACATCAATTCATAGGGTTTATTCACATACCAACCCAACAGCACCATGGAGGAAGGAGAGACAGTTTCAGCAATTGCGAATCATTTTGCCGGGAAAAACATTTTTATCACGGGGGGCACAGGATTCCTAGGGAAGGTGCTTGTGGAGAAACTGTTACGAAGTTGTCCAGACATCGGAACTCTTTACTTGTTGATGCGTCCCAAGAATTCTCAGGATATTTACGAACGAAGTCATGAACTTATAGAAAAATCGGTGAGTAAAGCACATGTATTTTTGCGACCAATCTCAAATGTCTTTACATAAAAATAAATGAACAGATTAATTTACACATTTAACATTTAAAAAGCATTTTTTTTCAAATTTCATAATGACTTACAAAATCTTTTCGTGCGACAGTTTTGGGGCCCTATGCCACTCATGATCAATTAACACATTTACATAACAGTGGATGTTTAGGGTTCGACACTAAAGATTTCTTGTCAAGTTACCAGCAGGGTTGAAATATTTTGGTAGATATATGGGTTGATACTATATGGTAGCTTTAAACATTGCTTTAAACCCAAATAATTTCAAATGTTCTAAAATTTTAATGCTGTTGGTTTCAAGTCGTTAAATTCTGTTGGATGTAAACAGAGGGTTGACAAAATTTGGCTTTTCCTGACTTAAATTTCTGTACGCTAGTGAATTCTGAGAACTCAAGATATAGATTTCTTTTTTGCAATCAAAGTTTGTTTCAATGTGGGAAATTCAACTGTATTTGGTACTTAAAGGAGCCTGTTGGACTACTTATTTAGCTGGGAGGTTTTTACCGTAAGCACCTCAGCTTAATTTTTGGCAACCTTTTGCAATTGGAATGCTGGCTAATTAACTATTAGAGTCAAATCCTGTTTAATATACATTTGAATCATGGTATATTTTAGAAACCTCTAGCTTTAAATGAGCTCAGTTGTTGCCTTACAGGACACTGAAGATGTAACGATACTGATTTTTACCTCTTTTGTAATAATATTGACACAAAAGCTGAACTTCATCTTGGCAGAATTCGAAGGCTTCATCACTCTAAATAGTTCCTAATTGCATAATGTTATTTGTTCGTATATTTTTGCTATCACTGAATTGCAGTATATATATGTATATGTAACTATGGTTACTATATACCACTATGGTGGTATATATTTCTGCCATCGTCTTTCGACTTGTGAGTTTCCTATGTCGACACAATTTTCAAAAGATGTCGACAACATGATAAGAACTTGTCGCAATAACGTTTAAATTATGTCGACATATTTTTTTACATTTTCCGAGATACTTTTGCCGAGATAATTATCACGTGAGTAGGTATAACTCGGCTTTTTATCATGTTAATGTTCCTATGCGACCTCGACTTGCCACTTATTTCTGCAAAGCAAAACGATCAGTAAACAAATCATTTTCCAAGAAATTCTCACCTGACTTACTGATATACAAAACCTAAACTAAGGCTATTTCGTCTATTCGTATTTCAGAGTTATCTGCTCTTGTGAGCAGGTATTGATTGTTACGGTATTTGTTTGAGAGAGTAACGTCATCAATTTTTGAGAAAACGATGTAATTTTCTTACACAAACAAATGACGTAACAATCAACACCTGCTCAAAGAGAAGATAACTCTGCAATACGCAAAGACAGAATATTGTTCTCAAACCTAATAATTAAAAGCTATCATGCATACACCATGTGAAACTTTTTTGGAGAATGATTTGTCAACTACTCGTTTTGTTTTGCATAAATAAGTGGCAAGTCAATGTCACATCTGAGCATCAACAAGATAAAAAGCCGAGTTACCTACTTTCGTAATAATTCATATGGCAAAATTATCTCAAAAATTTATATTTTGGTAATTTTTGGTATTTTGGCAAGCTAACTTTTCCAGCACTGCACTATAATATTACCAGGACTAACATTTGGGTAATTGTAAAGCAACCGCGAAGTGTTTATACTCAGTGGCAGGATATAGGTGGCATTCGCATACACTTATGATACATTTGGTGGCTGCGTCGTGACCCTCATGTATATATATATATTTTTTTTTCTTTTTTTTTCTTTAAACCCTTCACCCCTAAAGTCACATTTGAACCTTATCAGAGACTCAGGGCAAGTCCAGTTTAGATTTGTAGGGGTGACAGTTCCCGGTGGCTAGCTATTGATCGTGCACAGGGAGGACCCCATTCAGGCCAAGCCTGGGAATGTGACTCCTTTGTGAGGGTGCACGTGGAGCAGGGGAGCTCGAGTATGTGTCAGCTAAGGAAGACTAGGGAAAATCTGTCTTACGGGGGGGGGGGGGGGAATCTTTTCCAGCATTGCAGTAGGGTAACTATGAAGCTGGAACCTTTTTCAAAAATTACACATCAAGCATGGTCCCTTGATCAGTGGCATAGATTGATATATATATATATATATAGGTGCCAATATCATCATATGCATGCATATTACATAAATCTAGTCTGTGTATTCGTACAAGTATTAATGATATTAATAGGTGTACATGGTGATAAGGTGGTCCTTGATCACAGATCAAAGTTAATACTTTCTAGTTCAGACTTGGCAAACATTTCCGGATAAGATAACTTGATTGTGATACCGGGGTACCCTATATTAGGTAATATAAGTTCAGGGTTATAGTGGTGACAGCGATATCAGGGGGGTGTATAGTTATACTATACCTGATATGCTATGATCAGGTACTTAAGTTACAACAGTAGGGGTGATCATGACCTTGCATTACCCTAGATATACACGTATACACACTGTATATCAGTCAGCACCTAGGGCATTTTGGGGCCAAATTCGAAACAATTATTTTTCCGGAATTTTCTTCAAAGTTTCCCAAATAAGAATTCAAAACAAAACGGAATTGTTCGACCTTCAAATGACAGTGCAATGAAATGTGAATTAAAATTAGCTTTCATAAATAAGGGTTCAAGTTGTTAAGTCTTTGCAATATTAATGGTAATGTGTAAAAAAAAAAAAAAAAAAAATCAGGCGTAATTATGAAAACCACAACTCGGATAACTAGCTAAAGATGATGCAATAGTTCTGATTCCGTAGCCTCAAGGTTAAAATTAACATATAAACCAAAATAAGTGAAGAAAGGCCCAAGTGAGGTAGATTTAGAGGGATGATGTTCGGAGTACAAAGTCTTTCATTTTTTTTCCTGAATTATTTAACGCTCTTTCAAGGTGTATTTGATTCACCGTGTCGGATATAAATAGCCCTTGCCATTTGATTATGCATACAAAGGTTTGTACACTAACAGGAAATTCATACAAACTTATAAACCTTCATACCTGAATGCTCATGATCTGATCAATATCATTTTTACTAGATATTCAGCAGCATTGTGATAGCTGAGTATGTATATGAGCATCAACAGGTTTAACATTATTTTTTACTCGGAACTAGCTATTCCGTGAAATTGTATACATGTACAGTGTACTAACCTTTATTCATATTAACCCNCCCAGTAAACAGCCAAAAGGCTGTCGTAGCACTACAAGGGTTAAAATCAAATGTGTTCTTCTTCCATCTTTCTAATTGGACAGAGTGATTGGTTGCAGATACCGGTAAGATTTGGCACCCCTAATAGCTGATATTCTGGAGAAACCATAGACTTTAGTCATAGAATATACTGCTTTTCTTTACACATGATATTATATAAGACTCTTTCATGCCCATGGGTGTAAAGCCTCGGGTTTTACCAAATTTGAAAATCTTGAGGGTGGTATTTCCCTATCCTACATCCTTGGGCATGAAAGAGTATTTTTCTCTCATTCCAACAACCAGAATAAGCTCAGAAACCATGAATCAGCCAGCCAGATTTAGCGTATCCCATATTAGCAAACAATGTTTGCACAGAAAAAATAATCACATCTTTCTAACGTGTACAGTTAGTATACCGTAAAAGGTTGTAATTTCATCACGTCGCCTTTTCAGCATTGCGGCATTAGAGAGTTCCTAATTCATGACGTCACGTCATGGTTGAGCCATTGTGACGTCACGTGAAATGGGGTTTAAGACAGAAATTTCCTACACTCCTTTCTTACCCTGGACACCTCGCTCGAGCTCTATCTTACACACAAGGAAATGAGAGAAATTCGCATTATTGTTCTTGTTGCATTTTTTCAGTTGCACATATCATTTGTGACTGGATTTTAACCTTCTAACATCGATCTTGTATTGAAAAGGAAAACCTAACAGTGTATTACATGAACATGGGTGTGATTCTGCATGACTTTCTGTTTACATATATTTATTACACAGTGATCACTTTTAAAGTCGTTCTTATCAAACGAAGCAAAAACGTTAAAAAAAAATAATCAGATAACCCCAAAATATTTTCACGGTATGTATCATATTCCTTATGAAGTCTTTTATTATTTCATCCGCTAACATCGTACTAATAATGTTAATAACTATCTGCTGGTTTTAAGGTGGTGTACAGGTGTTGGAGATTTGCATGTGAGTGAATCTTCAACTCGTTCACCCCTGAGTCTCGTAATGAACTATTCCAACATTTGAATTGGAAGAGTTCAAATGTGTCTTCAGGGGTCAGATTGTGTTAAGACTTCAAATGCTTTAATACTTGTTTTGATACAGGTATATGTGTTGCAAAGTTGAGATAAATCATATAAATTGAATAAAAGATAACGGAGTTCATGAGAATTTTATCGGGGAAGTTTTGTGTAGTAAATGTTTCCTCTCTCGGTGGAATCAGTTTTGATTTCAAGTCTTGAAGCCAAAATATTTGTTTTTAATAGAATTTTTTTGTGAAAGCCTGTGAGAAAAAAATTTGACTGCACCTGATCAACATTTTGAATAATGCAGCATGTTTATCTGTTCAACCGCACTTTATGTATCAATTCATTTCTACAAGGCTGAACCATCTGCCATTGACTGATCATCATCATCATTAATTCCATAAGCTTAAATTTTAAATTTCATATACCATCGCAATAAAAACGCAAACATGTCATCAATCATTCATACGTAGCTCAATTAATCCGATGCTGTAACTTAGCAACAGTTCGCGGATATCTGTTGACAGATTTATAAATTTTATGTACATGTGCAGATTTGAAGAAAAACAATCCAATGAATTGTATATACAACACATATTTTTTAAAAGAAAATATCTATTGATATTATATCTAATGCTATGTAACATATATTTGACCTTTGTAATATAAGTCTTAACGGCACTATATGCTTTATTCAAATGATGTTTGTATTGTTTTAATCTGAGTTCACGCTACATTTACGAATATATTTAGCCCAATTTCATTCACATACAATGAATATATATATAAAACCAGAAAATCATTATTGCAAGATTTCGGCAATATTCTGACACAGCTAATATTTTAAACCTCGAATTTCATATCCCTGATTTTAAACCTGATAGCAGCACCTATGAGGATGGTTGTCTGTCTTAGTAAAAAAGATCAGACTAGAGTTGTTTATGAGGAACAATCACTTCCTGGCCTGAACCACATAAACAGTTATTAAATCGATCATAAGTTGGTTTTAAAGAGAATCTGATCTATCGTAATATTTTTACTAATTTCTTGCTCAAGGTATAATACATGTATACCAGCTACAAGCTATCCTAATGATATAGCTGATCATGAATATTTGAAAAAGTGTAAAATGTCAGGCCACAGAAAAAATTATGTTTCAGGTACCCTGACCTACCCTGGTTTTACCTCCAACCCTTACAATTTTTTCACTGGAGCGCACTCCATCCTGTGTTGGAATCGGAGGATGCAAATAAATAAATGGACAAACAAACAAGGCAACTATATATATGTTCCCTCTCTACTTTGTGGAAAAAAAATCAAAACCAAACTTAAATCCCATATTTTTATTTAAAAGTCCTAAAAATATGTTAGGTTATTTTTGTAATTCCTCCTAACCCTGCATCCCATAAAAAACACTTAAATAAATAAATAAATCTTGTCTAATATACCTTACCCTAATTTTTTCAGTGCAGTACCAGAAACATACATAATATCTTTTTGGCCTCATATATAGATTTGTGCAAATTAATTATATAAAAGATAATTTAAGTGTTGTATTCAGGTTAATGTTATGCCATTCACATAACAAATGTTCATTAGTCCTTAAATTCTAGTTAACGTCATTCTACAGGACACACACAGATAGATGGTTCCTTAATTAATATTTTACACTTCAGTATATATTAATCATAAGCATATACTTGAACGTATCATATACATGTAATTAAATACAAATAAGATATTGTTTCAGTCACAAACTATATCCATTTCCTTATAAGGTATTTAATACCTATATAGACTAAGAGTTTATAATCATTTACATGTGTTTCACGAGGGGTTTTGACCCTTACATGTTTTCACATCAATAAATATATATATAGCCTTTGAAATATATGGCATATAACTTGGTCCATATTTATGTTTCTGCAGTCAAAAGGTCAGGTGTAAATACTGAAAACAGTGTTCGATTTTAAGCCTCAATCTCCAAAATTCTTCAAAATCATTGACGAAATGATTTTATATTTACTAGTTTATCACCTTAGCAAGGGCTTGAACACACAATATAATCTGTCCGTTTGAGCTCGAGAACAGTTTCATGAAGAAATTTAAAGTAAATCAGTTTGTTTTGTGCTTTTTTTTAAGGGCTATCTAGAACTTTTAAATTTCTCATCTAGATCTGTAGCTTACTTCAGGAAGGGTTTTGGCCTTCACCTGCTTTCACTGTTAAACATTTTTATGTAAACAGAACTCATGCTTTGTGGGTACGTTATATAGAAATGTTGTTTTCTGTGTTATTTGACTATACATGTACAGATATGCATCTGAATTTAATCCTTTCACCCCTATGTAACTTTAGTAGACTCTACCATGCATTGATATGGATGAGTCCATTATGGTCTACAGTGGTGAAAGGCTTAAAGTCCCAGTGAATACAATTTAAGAAGCAAAATGGACATGACTTGAATCCATTATTGACTTTCGCCCTTGCAGAAGGTCAGGAGGCCGAAAGCATTGGGACCCTATAGCTAGGCCTGAGCACTTCACTATTCCGTTATAGTTCGTCTTTTTCTTCCATTAGAGAAATATAATTTAACCGTTGTTTAATACACACTTATCATGTTTGATTATATTCCACTGTAGGAGACACACAAATGTCTCTTAACTAAATTCATTCCACTCCCAAGCTGATTTCCCCATGATAAATTGGTATGATATATATATATCAATGTCTGTTTTTGATGAAACGTGTATGTATATGTCATGTAGTAATATATAATGGTATATACATTGTACATATACATGTGTATATATATATATATGTATAAGCAGGTATTATCCTGTATATTGCGATATGAGCCAGTAGAGTAAGGCTATGGACATGTAATAGGTATAAGCTACTTACGATTCTGAGCTCCTCTGAGCTCCGGCAATCTGAACCGGGCATGTCGACAATTAAGAATACATATATAGGCCCTATATATATAGATAGCTTATAAGTCTGAAGTACCAGATACACTTTCTATAGAGCTCATGCACTCAATGAAAAAAAGTGAACAGATATATCAAAAGCGTTATTTTGTATGAATTTGAAAAAAATTCTATTTAGATACAGATATAGCAAGGGTAGCAGAAGTGGTTGGTTTGGAAAACCTTTACTACATACACTTTCAGATATTAATTGATTTCACTTATAATTACCTACCTAAGCAAATATAACAAAATAATAACAGAAAATGATGGAATTTGTTGAGTTTCACATTCAAGACGGCACGCAGCCCTGTTTTCAAGCTTAATTGACATCATTCGAATATGGCACCAAATATCATGCTGTCATATATATCCCCAATTATAAGTTGATAAAAACATATTTTTGTCATTTTAGGTAAGTTTTGAAATGTATATTCATACTAGAGGCGTTAGAATGAAGAAATATTGTTTAAAATACATTTTTAACCCTAAAGTACATGTACATCTGTATATATACTCGGGGCCATGTACAGACTCTTATCGCAAGTGCTAGAGTGCTTTCATTTATTAGTTAAGAAATTAAAGTCCACTTAGCAAATGTTGAACAATCACTTTTCAATATATCAAAATACACAACCTTCATATTATATACAATGTATTGGACTCATTGCATCATATTCACAATGCACAAGTGTACGTGTTACTGTATATATTTTATCTCTTTTTATCGCTCACCTGGCCTGACTTAAAAAGCCATGCAAACTTTATGAAATATATGATTGCCATGCTTGTTAATTGTCTTTTTTTTTTTAATTTCTTGAAACACCTGTGATAACAGCTGAAAATATGAATTTTCACTATTCATATATTTCATATTGAATTGACATCAGACTCATATTCTGTTTGATTGTATGAATTATTAATTACCATACAAAATTGTATACGGTACCAATTCGAACTAATAAATGCAGTTTATGAACTATGACAGGTCTAGATTGACATGAAGTGATTCTTTGCAGTCCTTTTTTGATTTCTGATTGGTCGTTCCAGTCATGTGATCAATCAGTCTTCTGCAGTGTTTTCAGCATCCCCGTGTAATTTAGTTTGAGCTGAAAAATTGACAGTATTTCAGCTGTGTAATATTCTCATTGTGTGCATTATTTTTTTCATCATAAGGTAATTGTTCCTCCCCCAAGAATTCAAATGTATCATTCATTCTCAACCAGCAGTAACTTTATAAGTAATTTGGATCCTACAAATATACATTTGTAAGGTTCAAGTGTTCTATGGGAATTAACCATTGATATTACTTCTTTGACCACCATGCTCTACATATATATACATTGTATATATATTTTAAAAGCAGAAAAATTATCATTACGGACAAAGAAATAATGTAAAAAGAAAAATTCTCAACAACGAGTCTTAAGTACTTTCATCTCTTCTAGGAGATTCTTCAGACGGTTTATTTGAAGTAGATGTTGTGACATCATAATTTATGACGTCACATAATATAATAGTTCGCTTTAGCGGGCGTCCGCTATGTACGTACCCGCCATAGCGATATATATCACAGCAATAGAAATACATAATTATGGTCTTAAGGCAGAGAGTACTATTTGTTTAGGATTTAGAATTACTATATATATATATGGTAGCTGACTTGTATGTATACAGTCATTGATCAGTGGTTGATATATTGACATTTATACTGTTATAATTTCGGGTTTTACATTGTAAATGATGAACTCTTTCTCTAACTTCTAGGCATTTGAAAAGTTAAGAAATGAACAGCCAGAATTTCACAAGAAAATCCATCCTATCAATGGAGATATTGCTGTGGATGATCTCGGAGTGTCCGAGGAAGACGCGAAACTACTCCAGGAAAAAGTAGATGTGGTATTCCATGGAGCAGCTACAGTGCGGTTCGATGAACCCCTTCGTTTTGCGGTAGAGATGAATCTTCTCGGTATTCGGCGGATGGTGAAATTCTGTCGGAAATTTAAACATCTGGAGGTTTGTTTATTATTGCCGTTTATAATGTTTATATATAGAAAAAAGTGTGACATTCCTTTTTTCATCAAATACATAAAATGAAGATTGAGAACTACAACTACAGTTGTATTGACAAATGATATATTTTGCTGCACAAAGCTGACGTGTATGCGTATAACATGATCACAACTTATTATGCAGCATCCACAATCCAGCAAAGATGAGTGCCCTCAAATGCTCAAATTGGTGTAAAATTGGATCATTGTACTCCAGCAAGGAATCACCCTGTCTGTCTGTCTGTCCCTATATGTACATGTCCATGATCCTTGTTATAAGCGCAACTCCTCCTAAACCATTGGCTGGATTTTTTTGTAACTTAGCATTCAAAGTACACCATGTGTAGATGTGCATGAAGAAAGGAATTTACAATTCAACTGTTTTTCCAGCGTTATGACCCTTGAAACTTTTGATTATACTGCTTCGGAAACCTAGTAAACTCAAGCAGGGATTATATGTCACAGTTTCCCTAGTTAGTTAATTACATGAACTCTGAATGTTTGTACCAAAGTTAATGAAATGGTTTTAGAGAGTAAAAGGATGAAGGAAATGTATCTATGTATGCTTCATGATACTGTTAACGGGAAATTTTCACATCAGTTTAATTTTCGCCTTTTTCTGTCCCTCCATAATGAGAAAGTTTCACGGTATACAGTCCCGATATTTTTTTTCCTCAATTTATACTGCACTCACGATCGTAGGACATATCGCCTCACCATTGTCCTTTTCTGTTACAGGTTTTCCTCCACATGTCCACTGCTTATGCTAACTGCGATAAACCTTTTATAGAAGAAATGATTTACAATCCTCCCGTGGACCCTCAGAGACTTATAGATGCCCTTGAGTAAGTACCTGGCCTCAGTCTCCTACTCGGGCAGATGATCTCAAATAAGAATCAGACCTCATCCCAGATGTGTATTGACAATTGAAGTACAACAAAGCGATTCACGTGTTTGTTTAAAAAAATGAAATCAATAAATAAATAACCATGGCCCTAAATGACCACAGTTGTTGATGGGCCGTCAAACACAAACAAACAAACAAACAGACAAACAATCAATAATCCATGAACTACCATACAGTGTATAATAACTGTATATATACACGTACACTCTCTTTCGATGGGCGAAATATCCCGGGTCGAGTGACATAAGAAATATACAATTTCGTCACATTGTTGTACAGGTAAACAATACAAATTGATCACTCGGTCATAGCTTGACAAAAGGACCAGTCGGTCTTGGAATGTTGCAACATGTTTAATACGCGCATTGTTTGTGTGTGAAGTAAAACTTTGATATAAGTATCAACATTCGTTTTGATACTGACTCTGGCTTTGACTATTGAAGATTATTTTTCCCACAGTCACGATAGGTTTCCTCACCTGGACAGACTGGATAAACGGGGTAAAACCTGCAAAGATTTTAGTATGCCGCTAGTGAGTTTCACCCTGGGCGTCATTTCATTTGTCAATCTTTTGATTAAATACCTGGTACGTCACATGACAATGCTCTGTGCCGACATCTTCCATTATGATGTCAAGGTCATAATTCATGACCGTTGTTTCCCCTATCAGAAGCAGGAATCGTGTATTTTCAAGAGCAGCATACAGCTTTCTAGATGTAATATGAACAAGTTGTGTCCACAAAGTCGTGATGACTGGTAATTGTTTTTGTCCCACTGTTTAATTTTCAAACTGTAAAAAGACACTCAATAAAACCTCATATTTTTTTAAGAAATTTAAATTAAATAACTTGAGTTAAATAAATATGACAACCAACCTGCATTTGTTTGGGGAACCTCTCTATCCATTTGTTATTTTTATCTCAACTGGTCCGAAGGACCATGGTGAGCTTATGCCATACCGCAGCGTCTGTCGTCCGTCGTCCATCCGTCGTCCGTCTGTCCGTCAACTTTTCCTTTAAAACGCTACTTGTCATGAACGACTGAGCAGAGTTTGACCAAATTTGGTCAGAAGCATCCTTGGGGGAAGGGGAACCAATTTTGTATAAATGGTGGGTCTGGGCCCCCTGGGGGCTGAGGGGCGTGGGCCCAATAGGGGAAATATAGCAAATTAATCTTTAAAATCCAAGGGGACTCAATTTTGTATAATTGGTGGGTATGACCCCCATCTGGGCCTCTTGTTTGTGTACAGCTTAAGGGTCCCTGTCCCACTGCACTGTGGGTTTTCCTATACACAGGAACCTCCCCTTAACTTCTGTCCGACTCTGTTGACCAGGTAGCTTAATCGGTTATGGCGATAGTGTAACAATCTTAAGTCTGGGTTTCAAATCCGGGTCTAGCCCCAATATATATTTTTACACTCAGAACACTGTTGATGGTTTTTTATTTATCTTTTTTTTTCTAATGAAAGTCCCACAAAGTATGGATGTCTTTTCAAAAATCATTTATCAAAGCTACAGTCATATATGCCAGAAAAATAAATTTCCAATATTTGGTTTCAGTTTTTGCCAGTGGTATGAGGATCGATCCTCAAGTTTAACATTCATTACACATTATCAATAGATCTAGAAAAAGGAAGTATTACAATGCAAGTCAACAATATATCAAGGGTATCGCCACTATCATGAGTGTCCCCTCTAAACTGCCTCAAGTCCTGTGGTGTGCGAATTCATGACATGTCTTTGTGACCTCTCCACCTGACACATCATGTGTGGTGAGAAAAGCTTAATGTGAATAATTTACAACAAAAAGGGTGTTTTTTCAGATTTGCAGTCTTATCATGATCACAAAGCGTTGACATGAATGTGTCGGAGTCGTACTTGGTAATAGCGTCAAGATTTTACTGATAATTTAAAAGGATCTATGTAATAGTTCAAAAGCCTAGCCTCATAGCAGGAGTTGAATAAAGGATTTAAATTTTGAATAACAAGCTTCTGGGAATTTCAGGTATTCTATATGTTGATTCAATGCAGTCTTCACTGAGTAAATAAATTCAAGCTTCAAATTTCAAGTTTCCTGGAATAATTGAAAAAAAAAAACCTGTTCGGTATACATTTACTGTATACACACATGTATATACAGTATACTGTACCAGGAAATATTCCCTGAAGTTAATAATTCAATTATTTCTATGAAGAGGGCAAATTTATCACTACAGCAAATATAAGTAAACATCACAACAATATAATATATATAGTAATGAATTGTGTAGGGCGAAATTAACACTGCAAAAATTGACTTTGTATGCATGATCGGCCAAAAATTTCCCACATACACTAGCAACCCCAAAAACATTCTTGGTTATTCCTTAAATATGCCAATCGGATGCATATAATTATAGTACACAATACACCTCCAGCACACACACAGGTATACGCACATAGGGAGATATTAGCCTGGTGGCATAGGACTAGTAGTTAGCACCTGATAAGGCAGCTCTTGCGAATTCCTCAAAATTGTATTGATTAATGTTTATGCTAATTGTATTAGACTTTAAGTTGTAAATGTCTATGTCCTGTTAAATGCTTTAGAGTGTCTTATTCTAGCTAGATAGGGCATTATAGGAAATGTTGGAGATTATTATTAGTATTATTGTTTACTAATTATTTGTGCTTGTTATTTTATAGATGGATGGATGATGAGATGGTTGAAAAGATCACACCCAAACTGATCGGTAACAAACCCAACACATACACATATACCAAACAGCTGGGGGAGCACCTGTTGGTGAAGGAGGGATCTGACCTTCCCCTAGCCATTGTTCGTCCCTCCATAGTGGGCGCAGCATGGAAGGAACCTTACCCGGTAAATTACCAGCCCTACACATAGTGTAATGTCCTGTTCTGACATCACAAATCAGGATTTCTTTCACAAGCATTAGTTTCAATAACCAGGAAGAATTTCATAATCTTTTCATATGTCCAGCCCACGGATGAATTATGTTTTCATGTGAGTGGGTTGTCGCATAGTGTCAGTTCAATACTTTGAGCAACATTTATATTTTGTATATATCATTGTAATGTAGGGAAACATAACTAGTGGGACAAAATGATACAGATGCCCAAAAAATAGGTTTCAATTGTGTCGCAAAATTGAAAATATCTATTTTTGGACATTTTGAATTAGGCAGCAGTGACCTACTTTTACAATGTAAGTTTAACATACATATTTTGGTAATACCAAAAGTATTTTTATCAAATAGAGAACACATAGTTGTAACTACCATATCACTACCATATCAATACATGTATATCGAAAATCTGAGCTCTAGTTTTTCTGTAATCACCTAAACAAAACAACATATTTCGCCCCTTCTACAACTTCACCCACTCATTTTTCTACACCCCATTTCATGATGACCTTTCCCTAGACTTCATCTCTGCAAAAAAAATCTTATCTGTTAATGCCCACTGATTACGAAAATATTTACGAAATTTACAAATTTACGAAAATCATATCCTGTTATCTTAACAGCATCCTTTACTATGTAGCACTGTAGTGATACTGTTTACTGATTTCAGGGGTGGATAGACAACTACAACGGGCCAAGTGGTTTGTACATTGCTGTAAGTAAATCTCCAGCAGGGTCTCGAGGACAATCTATACCGCGAAAATTGTACCATGTACTCGTTTCTATAAAAATAATCTACAGTAACGAGTGTTTGTTTCTACCTCTCGTATATAAAGAGAAATATACACTTTATTTACATTTCATATGTAATAACAATAATAGTTCAAACAAGCAATGATCAGTGTGTGGTAAATTTGTGTATCGTTTATACATGTATAGCAAAATCAAATATTTTGCATAATTCTGCGTTAGCTGTTGTAAAAGGACACTAAATCCTTAACAAAAAAAAAGATATTTCAAATACTTAAAACTATCTGTAATGGATTCTTCATAATTTATATAACTTGAATTTGATGGACTGGACATAAAATATTGGCATTTAATACTTGTTCTGTATCAAGAAGAGACTCTTCGCCATCACTGTTAGACATGTTAAAAATGCACTGTATGCATGCATAATCTGTATACAGGCTGGTAAAGGAATCCTGCGGTCGGTGAAGGGAGACTTCCGCTGTGTGGCAGACATCGTGCCTGTGGACATGCCCGTCAACATGATGATCGCGGCGGCGTGGTACACAGCTGTTAACAAGCCTAGCTCAACCCTTATCTATCACTGTACCACAGGCAGTACAAATCCCTTCACTTGGGGGGAGATGGGTAAGTGTTACTACCATTATCAACCACCAGCTTGGGCCATTGACAGTAAAAACTTGTCTCTCCTCCTCCCCATCTTCTTCCTCTTTCCCAACTTCCTCCTCTTACCCATTCTCCTCTCCATATTTCTTTCCTTCCACTCCTCCTTCCCATCTTTTTCCTCTTTCCCAACTTCCTCCTCTCACCAATTCTCCTCCCCATCCTTCTTTCCTTCCACTCCTTCTTCCCATCTTTTTCCTCTTTCCAAACTTCCTCCTCCTACCAATTCTCCTCCTCATTCTTCTTTCCTTCCACTCCTCCTTCCCATCTTTTTCCTCTTTCCAAACTTCCTCCTCTTACCCATTCTCTTTCCTTCTTCGTATCTTCGTCCTTCTTTCCATCTTACTCTCCACTTCTCCTCCTCCTTTTCATCTCTGTCTTTGGTAACTCTCTCCCTACCATGCACTCATCACCAGCTTTACACATATTAATTCCATCCATTATCTCGTGATACTTACAGGTCAAAGGGAGGTAACAGCTAATTTATTAATATTTAACACTGGTTTAAGAGCTGTTCTTGAAAGAAATATCATACTTTGCGGTCTAATTTGGACTTATTGCAGTTAATTCCAAAACACACATTTACACATTAAAAACTACTGAAATTGATCAATATGAATTATAATTACAGACATGTGAAATCCAAACTTCCTCCTCCTACCAATTCTCCTCCCCATCCTTCTTTCCTTCGACTCCTCCTTTCCATCTTTTCCTCTATCCAAACTTCCTCCTCCTACCCATTCCCTGTCCCATCTTCCTTTCCTTCTTCGTATCTGTGTTTTTCTTTCCATCTTCCTCTCCTCATCTCCTAATCCTTTTTATCTCTTCCTTAACTGTCAACTGTCTCCCAACCATGCACTCATCACCAGCTTTACACAGATATTAATTCCATCCATTAACTCGTGCTACACAGAGGTCAAAGGGAGGTAATAGCTAATAAAATATTAATATCAAACACTGGTTTAGAGCTATTCGAGAAATAAATAACATGCTTTGGGGTCCAATGTTTCCAAAACACACATTTACACATTAAAAACTACTGAAATTGATCAATATGAATTATAATTATAGATTTGTGAAATACTAACTAGGTATAATACATCATCTTTTTCAAAGAAGTTCTATCAAAATTTTGACTTTTGATGTCAAAGTGCTGTTTATATTCAAACATAAAATCTTGTATTTTTTCATCATGGTATAATACTGTATATGTACATCGCAAAATTTTCACCTTGTCAATTTTTTGCCCTTCAACGGTAAAATCCATTTTCGCCCAATATCAAATTTGCCCTTCACATTTGATACCTATGTATATTGTGTTGATTACAAATAATCGCAGTACTGATCAATTTGACCTCATTACGGAGGGCAAAGGCAAAAATTGAACTGCAGTGAAAATTGTATATAGCAATACATCATTTATAAACTTTAAAACCCACTTATTGGTGACGCTCGAGTATGTTGTGATTATATTCATTTTCTTTTTTATTTATAACTGAAGGTGTTAACCAATACATGCTTAATTGAATTAATGTTTTTACATTGCTATTTTATTTCTTTGTGGTTATTACACGATGTACATGATATGAAAAATGTTCTTTACAGAGGGTGTTGTGATGAATTTCTGGAAAAAAGTCCCTCTTGACTCCTGTTTCAGGAGACCTAAGATTAGCCTCACAATGAACAGGTAAGTACATGTAAAATGATGTACCTTAATAATTCCGTCAAATTTGACTCTATTCCATGTAATTTTCCTTTAACGATAACCCTCAATTCATTTCTTATTCAATTTATACAAAATGTCTTCTACCAATGAAAAACAATTATAGTGCTCACTTTCTTAAATGATTCGTAACTTCTCATTTCTAGATAATTAGGTAATTTATAAATATCCCATCATTTTTTACGCAAAGTAAAGTTTAACAGCGTGTCATGTTGAATAAGAAGTTTTTTTTTTTTTTTTATCAACATCAACATGAAGCAAAACTTAACAGGAAAGATAGTAATAATAGTGTTTATCTATACTTGATTACAAAGTTGAGTCAACGACTAGCCTTACCTTTGGTCAAGTAGTTATAAAGTGTACAATAATTTACAAAATGTGCATCAAACAGAAAACCATAAGAACAAACCACGAAGAAATAAAATTGTATTTAACAGTCCCTACATTACTTAACTTAAGTCCAGAAAAAAAATCTTTGCTGTTAAGGTAAAAATGAATCAAGGAGAAGTACTAGGTTTTGTGAAAAGGAAAATGAGTGATGCTGAAAAAAACAATTGACGTTTTATTTTTCAGTATGATCCATGACTACTGGGTGTTCGTGAGCCACATGATACCCGCCTACTTCGCAGACATGGGGTACTGCCTCATGGGAAAGAGGCCAAGGTTTGTAGTGGCATCCTATTTAATCTGTAGAATTGGGAGGATCCACTTTCCTAGATTTGAATCAGGGATGTTACACACCACGCTGAACACCACATTTATTAACCTCACATTATGGCTGCGACAGTCGGAGACCAAACCCCTACCCTGGAGCAGGATCTCTCTTAAGTTTTAGTAGACTTCATTTTAAACTAAGTTCTGGAATACGACAGCATATTGCAAGCAGATTATATAGAGTTATAACATTCAACATGTAGTTTGAAGCACACTTAAGTGCTGTTCCCAGACCATTCCTGGCCCCTCCAGACGAGGCCTTCCTTGGCCTCGAGCTCTCTTCAGAAGCTCACATTCCGAAACCTTGAATACTGACTCTCAACTTTAAACTCCCTATAAAATTCTCCCCCAAGTACTTTCAACAATCTATACAACATTAACTATTCATGAGCGACTACCACGTGCAGAGATTAGAGGGTACTTTCTCATATCACAACAAAAGCTAACATATATTGTTGTGCTGCCTGCAACGCTAGGCGACACATAGGTATTACTTTGTCGGCGTCCTTGGCATCGTCGGTTGCGTCCGAAACAAGGTTTCCATTCTATAACTTGAGTTCCCTTGGGTTGATTGAGCTCAAACTTGGTACACATATTACATACCAATATAGCTCAAAGGAGTTCGTATTTTAAAAGTTTACATGCATTTTTGGTGGAGGTATGCCCCCTTTTATTGCCAAATAAGGGCATTGTGTAGTAAATGCAAGAACTTTTTTTAATTTTTAATCAATTCCTTTCAAATTTTGTATGGTAATGCTAGAAGCAATAATGTTCAACATATATTACGGGGTTTTCTGTCGAGTGTCAACTTTCCGCGTTGAGCAGGCGACACGTGTCATCCACTCCTGTGGAATTCTTGTTGTTCAGTCATACTTTTCTGACTCTAGAAATAACGGATGTGCTGCTCTCTATTGACACACACAATTTCACATGATATAAGCTGGTTCTTTTCTTCATCATCAATTACCTAATTTTCTGTACATTTTGTTACAAGGAATTGATTTTGGTAATGGGGGGGGGGGGGGGGGGGGAGGAACACAAATTTGTTTATTTGATTGATTGATTAATTGACTAATTGTTTGATTGGAAGTGATTTTTCTTGGTATGGAACAGTTTTTAGCTCACCTGCCCGCAGGGCAAGTGAGCTTATGTTATGGTGCGGGTTCCGTCGTCAACTTTTTGCTTTAAACAACTTCTTCTCAATAACCAAAAGGCCTAGGAAGATGATATTTGGCCAGTAGCATGCTGGGATCAAGGGCTACCAAGTTTGTTCGAATAAATGACCTTGACCCACTTTCAAGGTCACAGGGGTCAAATATGTTAAAATCTTCAAACAACTTCTTCTCAATAACCAAAAGGCCCAGGGTACTGATATTGGGCCTGTAGCATGCTGGGATGAAGGGCTACCAAGTTTGTTCAAATGAATGACCTTGACCCACTTTCAAGGTCACTGGTGTCAGATGTCTTTAAAATCTTCAAACAACTTCTTCTCAATAACCAAATGGCCCAGGGTACTGATATTGGGCCTGTAGCATGCTGGGATGAAGGGCTACCAAGTTTGTTCAAATGAATGACCTTGACCCACTTTCAAGGTCACTGGTGTCAGATGTCTTTAAAATCTTCAAACAACTTCTTCTCAATAACCAAATGGCCCAGGGTACTGATATTGGGCCTGTAGCATGCTGGGATGAAGGGCTACCAAGTTTGTTCAAATGAATGACCTTGACCCACTTTCAAGGTCACTGGTGTCAGATGTCTTTAAAATCTTCAAACAACTTCTTCTCAATAACCAAAAGGCCCAGGGTACTGATATTGGGCCTGTAGCATGCTGGGATGAAGGACTATCAAGTTTGTTCAACTGAATGACCTTGATTCACTTTCAACCTAATGTCCTTGTTCAACAATCAAGGTCAGAGGCGTCATATGTTTAAATCTTTTAATAGGTTCTTATGAAATCTTAAGATTACAAGTGTTAGATTAATAATAGGTGAGCGATGCAGGCCCATTGGACCTCTTGTTTTAGAAATTTCTTAGCGCTGTTAAATATAAACCTACAGTTTATATTTTTCACTGTTTACTCTACAGGATGGTGAAGATCTACAACAAGCTCCATCGAGCTATGAACTCCCTCACATTTTTCACCACACATTCCTGGGAGTGGACGTACAACAACCTGGACATGCTGAAGAGTCAGATGACTCCAGAAGACAAGAGGGTAACTAAACCACTCCTAAAGGAACCCAAGTCATGTTCACAGAATCCCTCATTCCTTTGTATTGTGAACCGAGTTGTTACCTTGATGCACTTTATCTTTCCTAATGTATAGCAGTTCATATAGCACAACCAGTATTACTAAAGCCGTTACACCCCGACGCCGTCAAAAGTCTCACACTTAAGAAAACCCAGTGGAGGGAGATCTCCCACACTGGACTCCTTAGAGGTTGGCAACCCTGCCAGTAAGTGTTTATGTGTGGTATTTTGATGACTGGAACTACAGGTTCTCTGTCACCTTCATCAGACAAATGGCCAGTGAAGTGTGCGTACGTACACAAAGGTGTAAGAGGCCGCAGTGGCCGAATGGTTAAGGGATCTAACGGTCTACGATCACTAGCCCTCAATACTGAGTCGCAGGTTAGAGGCCCACGTGGGGCAGCTGCCAGGTACTGGCTGCAGGTCGGTGGTTTTTCTCCAGGCACTCCGGCTTTCCTCCACCACCAAACCTGGCACGTCTTTTGAGATGGCAACCATAAAATAGCTGTCGATGTGGCTATGCTTTAAGCATATGTACAGTTAGTTGTAATATATGCAAGAAATGATGATGAAATTGAAGAATTGGTTCGGCAAGGTTTTGTTATAATACCTGGTCATAGATGTGCAAGAATCTATGAGCCCTCTCATCTCTGCTCAGTCATTAAAATGTTACACATTAACAATTACTGGTTGTGCTTTATGAATTTTGAACAACCCACACTTTGACCTGTAAAAAAAGGAAAATGTTTAGAAAACTACACTCACCCTCAGAGAGGTTGGTAACAGTGTCGTAAAAATTAAATGATGCAGTTAATGCATCCTTTCTTTTTGACCAGATCACTTCTTGCTTTTGCTCCAAATTTTTTTGGTTCAAAAATACAAATTTTGTGTATTATTACACGTTTATTGCCCTTGCAGTAGGGAAACATGATTCTTTGTTTCTCCGCGATTAATCTTGTTTCAGTTGCCCAAGTGAAATGTGATTAATCGAGGAGAAACAAAGAATCATGATTCCGTTCTTCAATGGCAATTAATATTATATTATGCCGACAAAATAACTTAATATATCAAAAACAATAACACAACAGCTAGTAGAGATGATCAGGTTGAAGTACCATTGTTGTCGTCTGCTTCCCTCATTCGGAACTAGGTTGTGGTGGCTCTTGCCGATTTGCCTAGAGAGGCTCCGAATAAGGGAAATATTCCAGACACTTTATTTTACTTTTCAGCGATTTTACTTTGATCCACGGGTCATGCACTGGCCTACCTACTTAGAGAACTATTGTCTGGGTACAAAGAAGTTCCTCCTCAATGAAGACCTGTCTGGACTACCAGCAGCTAGGGCCCACCTCAGAAAGTAAGTTCCATTATCCAGACATAAATAAAAATTAAAAAAATAAAGGTCTCAAAGCCAACTAGCCTCTGACAGGGTTTCTCATGTCTATATACCAGCCCATGTATTTTTCTGCAGAAAACACTGATGGTACCTATGAAACCATAACTAGCTTACAAGCCTCTGACAGCGTGTCTCATGTCTATATACCAGCCCATGTATTTTTCTGCAGAAAACACTGATTGTACCAATGAAACCATAACTAGTCTAAAAGCCTCTGACAGCGTGTCTCATGTCTATATACCAGCCCATGTATTTTTTCTGCAGAAAACACTGATGGTACCTATGAAACCATAACTAGCCTATGTTTTGCATTATATTTATAAAAGAAAAGAAAGGGAATCCAAAGTATAGACTAGAAATATATTAAAAAATATATATATTGATATTTATGCCTTTGTAACAAGAATATATATTTTTGAAATTTCATTTTAATACTTTTCTAGTATTTTATCATTTTGTTTGTTATGTCCCCACAATTCATATGTAGAGGGAGGGAGAGGAAGGTGCATAAATAGTAACATATGTCCGTCCATCCCATCCCCGTCCCCTGTCCCGTCCCATCCCGTCCCATGTCCATCCCATCCCCGTCCCGGTCGCCAACCTGTCCCGTCCTGTTCTTTCTCGTTCCGATTCATTATCATGACTCTACTGATTTCATTTCATAACAGATTTCACCAAAGTTTATACATAAATCAAGTAGGAGAATATATCGGACAAGTTTGTCTTTCGGGGTTCCAAGGTCAATGCTAAGGTCACTGTTGCTATTTATAGGTCAACCACTTGCAAAGGGCCAACAAAGCATTCATGTCTTACTTATTTATGTTTTGACTTCGATGCAGCAAGTTTTCTGTTATTATTCATCTCAGAACTTAGGAATAGATCTTGATGAATAAATTTGTCTCTTTCAGACTGAGGAACATCCGATACACTTTCAACACCATCCTTCTTGTAGCTTTGTGGCGTGTGTTAATTGCGAGATCACAGATTGCGCGGAACTTGTGGTTCTTCATCATGGGGCTTGTGATGAAGTTTGTGAAATATACGCGTATAACCAGTACAATCGGTGGGAAATAAGGACCCGGGTATGCTTTGGACCACGGACAACAGGATGTCGGGTACCAAGGATGGAAATAATGATGTTTAAAGGGGGAAAAATTCCGCACCCCAAAGCGGGACTGTAAAAATTCTCACTCCAGCAGTTGTTTTCTGATCAAAAGGCTGCAATCGAGATCCATTTATCCAATGAAAAGAGAGTCATGAAATTCTACGATTTCACAATCCAGTGTCTAGACTGGTAAGGTTCCACTGTACACTATTTCAAAGTGTCCTGACATATACAAGACTCCATCATTGAACAAGACAGACTAGCAGAGATATATGGATTTGTGAAATCCATATCACCGTTGAAACTGATAGATTTCGGAATGAATATGAGAGAACATAAGAGATGTGTTTCAGTTGAAAGAAATGTATGTGATTGTTGTGGACGGAGAAAATGTTTACAAAAAATGTGTCCTATTCATACAAAATGTTATGCCTTTAATAATCTTGCTAAGCACTATATAAGCATAATTTTAAGGTGTTGGTGAGATGTTTTTCTTAAACAGTAAGTAGAGTGGCCAGTTACTTATACAAAAACATTTTCTGAAAAAAACAAAATTATTTCTTTTATAATCATATGGTGTTAAGTTTACCATCCTGTCAATTGAAATTTATATCTGTATTTTTTTTTCTTACTTTTTTGAAAATTTGACAATATGTGACAATATCTTCCCGGTTTACTGTAACTGAAAATTATAAAACATAGCTGTCATTTTGACCAAAACTTAACATAAATCTCCCTCGAAACTCCCTCATTCAAGTCTCATAAACTCAAAATCTACATTCTGTGGTTAAACGATACTCTTGTTACTGCAGGATGTGTGTAATGGTCATATTAGGTGTGTCTGAATGAAATGAATGCTTTTTGGAGTTATTTTGGTACAGAAAAAAGGAAAAGAAAAATTAAGCAAAGCAGTTCACTCAGCACTTTCTCCCTCATTCGAAATGTGGAATGAGGGAGATCTCGCTCATCAGAGGTTTCAGAGGTTGACACCAATGATATTATCATGCATTCTATTGATAATAATAATGTTACATTGGGCACTATAAAGGTTAGTGCGACTAATAAATGATGAAGTGTACAACAGTGTACAATTTGATACCAGGAAATGTGTACTTTTAGTGTGTATATATTACGCCCTCTACATAGAACTGATCTGTGTGTATATTGTGTCCGTATAGAACATCAACTAGATCAGAAAAGCCTGTGTTTCGAATGTGTGTTTGTATTTCACTTCCTTCTGTCTCTGAAACAACAACAGAACTGCAAGTATTAGCCCGAGTTTTCTCTGGCCCGACACCAGAGGTCTGGTGTCTATCTGTCAAAATGTCGTAAGTCTGGGGTCAGGGCCAAAGGAAACTCGGGCTATGCAAGTATTTGTATATTATTTTCACAGTACAGTAATTATTTTCCATGAAAAAATACATGTGAAAATAGTTGTGTCATGACCGCAGCTTACAAACAAATTTGGCATAATTGATGGATTTAACAAATATGCGAAAAATTAGGGACCGTGTGAAAAATACTTTACGGTAATCAATTGTACAGTTTTAAATACAGGAATGTGGAGTTGTGTGACTTTTGAATACTTATATTTACCTCATTCACCCCTGAAGACGCATTTGAACTCTTCTAATTCAAAGGTCGGAATAGTTCATTTTGAAATTTCAGGGGTGAAAGAGTTAATAAAGACACACTGTAGACACATTGCCAGTTCATTATCTTCCCCAAAGGAAATGCATAATTTTTTTTATTAAGATATCAACTGTGCAAATGAGAGCTGTCGGACTGAAAAGTGACAAATTATAAACTCTGTATATATAATGTATAATTTACATCTATAATATACATCCTCTGTGATGTACATTAATATATATAAATGGCCAACTGTGTGAAAACAGATAAGTTCATGTTTGAATAGATGTGTGTAAATGATACCAAATGAATCTGTTTTTATATTGGCATAATGACACAATGTTGTTAGATCCATGTATAATATTTATGTTTAAACATTTAGCATCAGAATTTCTTTAATACTGAAATCTAATATATGTTGTGAGCTTTATGTGTGGGCAAGAACTACATAACATTTCATTCCTCATGTTTTTCTCCAATGACAAAACTTCAGCACATATGATTTAGATTATGTGCACATATTGCTTTTTGATTTCTGTCTATCAAAACACCCCCATGTAACATAAGACATTTATCGGTAGAAAAGATCTACATACCATTAACTCATTCACCCCTGATGACACATTTGAACCCTCCCAATTCAAAGGTTGGAATAGTTCATTGTGAAATTTCAGGGGTGAATGAGTTAATAAAACACTAAAGAACTAAGGACAACATTCCTATAGCAAAGTGTCAATTATTCAGTGTGATGCTGAAGGTATCATGTGACTGTCATGTGACCTTGTCATGTGATCAGTGTTAGCTGTGTCTTGTCAAATATTTTCTTATCTCGGTGAAACGGTGCAGGATAAAGTTGCTTCCTTTCCAAAGTGCTCAATGGGTGTTGTGAATTTAGAGGGCAGAAAATGTGAGACTCGTTTCCGGCAATCTTTGTGAATTCTGTCTATGTATACACATTCTATTGATATGCTTCATTCTCACATCAGACAATACCAAACTAATTAAATGTATGTGCTTCATTCTCACACAAAGCAACAGTATCAGATATGTGCTGCATCCTGACAGGTGATCGACAGCACCTATCATTATATGCCTTGAATATTCTCACATGAGATACCTGCATGTAATTACTGAATACCGCAGTTTAGACTTCGCCTTTTTTGCTCTCTGTAATGAGGAAAAAATTGTCATTGCAGTGAATATTAGTAAACAACATACTACAAATTGATATTAAATGAGAAGGACAAATTTAATATTGGGCGAAAATGGATTTTACCGTCAAAGGGCGAAAATTACCCGGTGTATTCAGTATGTATACTTCATTCTCATATGTGACACCAACATTTATCAATTTTATTCTCACATGAGACAATACTTAAAATCACACTCTTTATTCTTACGTGTGACAACACCAACAGTTAGATGGGTTGTTATAATTCATTTCAAGAGTAAACATGATAAAGAATTGGAATCCTTTATATATTCTCTGTGGTATAATCATTAATGAAGCAGACTTTTGGATTATTATCCTCAGACAGCTTTACTTCATCAGTACTTCCTTAGAGCAGAAATTTCATAACTTGACTCAAATAAAGTGGTGATTTACGAAAATTGAAATAGCACAAAGCAGTTATACATGACAGTAGTAACTCATGCAGTGATTGAGTTATCTCCCTTTGTGTTTTTCTTCCTTCGGTTTTGTTGTTGCTTATATTGAATAATGAAACTGACATATGTGTGATGATCCCTATCGTCTAAGGAGTACATGTATGAAAATTACTTTTGTCGATCAGTATGATACTAATTATATGTGGTCTATGTACTAGCATATGAATGAAGTTTCGTCTCATTATAGCATAACTAATAGAATCTCTCATCCCCTTGGGGGCGAGATAGGGGAATCTCAACCCGAGGGGGAAGATTCTTAAGTTGCCAAATACTAGGCTGTGCCGAGATTTTGGCAAATTAAGAATCTTTCCCCGAGGGTTGAGATTCCTCTATCTCACCCACAAAGGGGTGAATGATTCTTTTTCTCTTCCCCTGTTCTCCCATTGTGTATCATATACACAATGTAATGATAACGTTACATGCTAAATTCAGGGTTGACCTGACGTTGATGGATTGTTGACGTGACGTTATTGTATTGTTGAAGTGGCATCATACAATTGTTATGAATATGGGAATTCCCCCCTCTCAACCCTAGGGTGAGACAAGGAAATCTCACACCGGTAAAAGTGCAAATACACCTGTCCAGGGTTAGAGAAAGATATATTGTATACAATTAAATTAAAATGAATCATAATTTCATAAACAATATTTCTTCCGTTCCATCAAACTTTTGAAATTTCGAAGTATCTATCATGACAATTTTCTAAGAAAGAAGAAGGAAAAAGGAATTATAAACAGTGCTATTGGTTAATTTTCGAGAGAGAAAAAAAACTGTTCGAAAGATATCATGCAATACTCGTTTCATGATAACTTAAACAGGCAGTTTTAATATATAGCTTGTATGATGCGATTTTCTATGTATGTGCACACATGTATTTAAATGTTTGTGGTACCATTTGTTGTAGTTTTCATGTTACTTGTATGTGCTTATTTATAAACCAGATTGCATACATGTATGTATTCTTCGAGCAAATAATGTTATCTATTTCCATTGTCATCTTCATAAGGTGTACGTATACGGTAAAATAACATTAATATTAAGCCTTCTGACATAGAATGATTTCCCTGTATACCTAGCTTATAGACAATTTGCATCCATATAGCTTTATCACGTTTAACTTACTATCTATAATGTAGCTTTATATGTGATCCGAACAATTCCGAAAATAAAGTGATATTAGCGATATATCCTTGTATCTTATTGGGTCTAAAGTAGAATGTAAACTACTGTGAAATCAAATATTTTCGTGGCGCCGAAATTTCGTGGATTACGAGTACCAACTAAAATCGAGAATTGAATAACACTTGTAATTATCCTTTGTAGACCTATGAATTCATAGATGATGATTACCCACGAAATCAATGAAATTAAACACCCCACGAAAATTAGAGATTTCACGGTATACTCAAATACAAGATCATGCATTTTGTAAATGTGTGTGTCCTCTTTTCAACACTTAAATAAGTGTTTCCCAGAAGAAGGTTAATTTTCCTTACTGCTAGTAATTTTATTTCCTTAATCAACTGGTTCTGTTATTTCCGTATTAACGGTACTGCTTTTTAAATACAATGTTTGTCATTAATGAGGAAAGCCTAGGAAATGTAATTTTACAGAGAGTAGGTTTTATAATTCCTATAGATAAGGCTTTATGACATAAATGTTAAAACAAAATATTACTATCATTTTCTGCATTGACTAACTCAATTTTTTTGAACTAGGTGTTTTAGTGCTTCGTGTTGCAATAATAATCAAAAATAAAAATAGTAATCTTTATTTAACGTCGTGTGCAATTGTCAACAACAAACATAAGCTCTGTAGAGCTTTTATTACGACGCCGCTAAGGGAACAAATGGTGTTTTGGTGGTGGAGGAAAACCCACGGGGGAAAACCACCGTGCCATCGGAGGGAAAACAACTAACCCTATCAGACATCACTCTCTTTTTTCCACCACCGCTGGGGATCGAACAGAAATTCTTCGGAGAGCGAGTGATCTGAAGCTCATGCTTGATTGCACACAGTAGTACAATGACTGTGCGCGTTAGCGATCACAGCTACTGAGGCACCCAGTAAATACCACAGGTGCTGGACACGCTTACAGGATGTGTATATACTATATGATAGCACTACACATATTATATAGTATATGCAAATCATATTAGTGTAGTGTGTCGAGCACCTGTGGTAAATATGGTTTTTTTGTCAATCGATTAATCAACAAAGTAAATAAGATGTGCTAAGTTTAATTTATTGTGACGTTTCACTTTGACAAATGTTTAAAAAATTATTTTTGTTTTGTTTTTTTCCCCTCTTTTAAATGAAAAGAAGTTCCTCGTGTCACTGTACTGTTCCTCAGATGTAAAAGTTCAGTAATTTAGTTGGCTATATGGGGCACTATAGAAGGTAAAAGTCAGATTTGGACTCATATTTTACTGTTACACATGTCATGTTTTTCAACACATACAAATCATCTGTGATTTTTTTCAGATAAGAATAAAAAAAAAATATTATTAAATCATGGATATTGTTTTGTTTTATTCGTACCATGAACAGAAATATAAAGAGTATATTTAATTTAAATGTTCCAAGTTGATTACTATTGATATTGATAGCAGACGTATGGCAGAATATCAAATTTTTTTCACTTGTGTGGTATATGCTGCCAAAGGAGTGAATTATATTGTATTCAATAGAAAAGATCGTAAATTTTCTATCTTTTACATTTTAAAACTACTGTGACGAAAATGTTACTGCTTCAGGACAGATGGGGATTTAATCCATTAATTTGAGACGGATAGTATAGAGCGAATGATTGATTAATATTGTATTTTGTTCTATCAACGTCGCCTACAAAGCAAATTACTTTTAACCCATTTACCCCTAAATTCTCATTTGAACCTTACCAAATGAACGACTGGATGAGTCCAGTTTAAATATGTAGGGGTGGAAGGGTTAAGTAGCCATTTGTTCTTAACATCAACCCACAATTCGACTTCATACTTATGAATATCAACTGAACGATGTGAATGTCTATGATGCAAGCATGCCAACGTTATAATTTCTTTTAGTCAAGTTTCATTCATACTAAGTACCAGCTGAAGTCATTCAATTAAGTTCTTATATTTCACTTCTAGTAAGATTATGACAAAGCTGTTATTTTATCAAAGGTTGATTAATTGCTGTTACTTTGACCCTGGCATCCTGAAATACAAACTCATTTAATGCATCATCATACTTTATCAATTCAACTGAATGTTTATGTTTTTTGTATATATGAAGTGCGATTTAAATAAGTTTAGAAATGAAGTCGCTAGAGTGTTAATGGTAATGATATTAATGACATTGTGCTTGATAATGGCTCCCAGAAACACGAATTCATCAGAGGCATTCTCATATTTGATCTTTGTTCAAAGAAACAAATAAAAATTAAGTCGCATGAGCGATGACTGAGCTGGTTGACATTTTTTCTATAAATAGTGACAATGAATTTGGCCTTGACCTTGGGTCAGAGTATCCTTGTATCCTTGCTTGACATTTGCATGAAGTTTAATCAACATCTGTTGAGAAATGAAGTCGTTAGTGATGACATAAATAATTTCTGTTAACCTTTCTGTCTTATAAGTATCCTTAAGTCATTCAAGTAATTTTGAAGAAAATCTGTTGTGTTACTACTGAGGAAAGGAATGTTAATCTTCTGTTAGTCAAAATCTAGAAGTTAATATTAGCACAGGCGTTTGCATCTGGTATGTATAAATATGCGAAAATATAAAATAGTCTTCCCTTCCCTACTATATTGACAATATATACATGTAGAAGGGTAGGGAAGCCCAATTGATATTTTCACATTTTATAAAAAAAAATCACTCAGAATGTATATTAGTTTTTATCCAAATAAACAAGTAATTAAACATGGGTATTGTTTTCACTGTATGAAAATGTTCATGTATGGGTTATAACAAAATTGTCTTTGCTTCAAGGACATACTTCCAAGCCTTTTACTGGTAACACATGCATGCGTATACAGAGTTGCTTCCCCTTTCTAGACTTTGCCTTTTATTTTTTTTCGTCCGGAAGTAGACGTCCAGTGGGGAAACCGGAAGTGTACCCTTGAAGCGAAGCTCTTTAATGGTAACACATGCGTGCGTAAACAACAGAGTTGCTTCCCCTTGTTACACTTTGCTTTTATTTTTTTTCGTCTGGAAGTAGATGTCCAGTGGGGAAACCGGAAGTGTATCCTTGAATCAAAGACAATTGTGTTTCATCCCATTCAATCTGTGCTAATATCAGCAATTTATTTCTAGATTTCTAGATTTTGACAAACAACTTGAAATTACTTTCCTTAGATGCCTGTAATATTAGCGTACAAATGTAACATTGTAAATAAATGGTTATATGTGAAGCTGAAAAGGAAGTTCTGTGATGTATGCAGTTTTCATTTCCGGGGAAATCTGGAACAACTAGAATCGAAGTGGTATGTAATTATTAACCATGACAATAACGATAGTTTGTTAAAGGGGCTGCTCGGGGGGAAAATGTCATATTTGCAAAAATGGCATACACATGTTTAAAATACCTTCTTATGAAATATACCGATTCAAATTTTGCTGAAATTCTCTCCCTAAGAGTAAAAATTATAATTATATTAAAGAAATCCTAAATCGTCACCTGACAGTCGAAAACTCTCAATTGACCCAGATCAGTGATGTAATTTTACCACAGGCACGAGGAATCAATAACGTTATATATAACAACAACATATAGGTAGAAATACTACACTTGCATCATACATGACCTTTGAAAACAATTATTTACGTATAGTATTGTTGTCTTGTCCGCTAATTGAGTCCGACATGGCACATGACGGCGTGCAATTGTTGTTATCTTAACTGCCTCATTTTCGAAACAACCACGCGACATATATAAATAGATCTGCGCTAAATTTACGCGGGGCTTCCCCGAGATTTCAGTGGTCAAAACTGGACATTTCAAGCAGAACTCGACCATCATATTGCCGTGGTATAACTTTTGGAAGGCCAGAGAACGCATTTAGACCCACTCATTTTGTAATTTTTTCCCCGACCAGCCCCTTTAAAACATTCTATCAAATATATTAAATAAAACATATCGACGCAACAATTGCGCAAATTTTGATATGTGTTTATTTTGTGTTGGTAGTAGTGTGTTACAGGGATAACATTCGTCTAAAATTCGTTGGCAAATCTACACAGAATGATATATTATTTTTAGCTCACCTGCCCGAAGGGCAAATGAGTTTATGCCATGGTGCGGCGTCCGTCGTCCGTCTGTCCGGCTTCAACGTTTTACTTTAAACAACTTCTTCTCAAGAACCAAAAGGCCCAGGGTACTGATATCGTGCCTGTAGCATGCTGGGATGAAGGGCTACAAAGTTTGTTCAAATAAATGACCTTGACCCCCTTTCAAGGTCACAGGGGTCAAATATGTTAAAATCTTCAAACAACTTCTTCTCAATAACCAAAAGGCCCAGGGTACTGATATCGTGCCTGTAGCATGCTGGGATGAAGGGCTACAAAGTTTGTTCAAATAAATGACCTTGACCCCCTTTCAAGGTCACAGGGGTCAAATATGTTAAAATCTTCAAACAACTTCTTCTCAATAACCAAAAGTCCCAGTGTAATGATATTGGGCCTGTAGTATGCTGGGATGAAGGGCTACAAAGTTTATTAAAATGTATGACCTTGACCAATTTTCAAGGTCACTGGGGTCAGATGTCTTAAAATCTTCAAACAACTTCTTCTCAATAATCAAAAGGTCGAGGGTACTGATATTGGGTCTGTAGCATGCTAGGAGGAAGGGCTAAAAAGTTTGTAAAAATGAATGACCTTGACCAATTTTCAAGGTCACTGGGGTCAGATGTCTTAGAATCTTCAAACAACTTCTTCTCAATAACCGAAAGGCCCAGGGTACTGATATTAGGCCTGTAGCATGCTGGAATGAAGGGCTACCAAGTTTGTTCAAATGAATGACCTTGACCCACTTTCAAGGTCACTGGGGGTCAGATGTCTTAAAATCTTCAAACAACTTCTTCTCAATAACCAAAAGGTCGAGGGTACTGATAATGGACCTGTAGCATGCTGGGATGAAGGACTACCAAGTTTGTTCAAATGAATGACCTTGATCCACTTTTAACCTGATGTCCTTGTTCGACATTCAAGGTTACAGGCGTAATATGTTTAAATCTTTGAATAGGTTCTTATGAATCAAACACTGATATTCTGCCTGTATCTGTATTTTAGTCCACTTTTAAGATTACAAGTGTGAGATTAATACCAGGTGAGCGATGCAGGCCCATTGGGCCTCTTATTAAGTCTTTTAGTCTTAATCTAAGTTCAAATTAAGGACGACAACTGTTGCAATGTAGTGAAGTCGTATTATTTTAACAACATATATGATCAGATACTGGTGGAAGGTTCAAGGACCTTCAGATGTTCAGAAAGTTTTATAATATTAGTTGATTGATACTTCGTAAATAAGCGGTATCACCATATGATTAAAGAACAGAGTCTACCAATGGTTGTATACCGTCCTAGTACAAAGCATAATGAAAAAGAGAACGTTGAACAAACAAATTATTAAATCAGACGATGTGACCTCAAAAAGGATGGAAGGGACCATAAAACGGGCGACACAAACTTGCATGGATGCCACGAGTAATTCAGGAAACGATTGCCCTTCCTGAAAACGTACTTTGGGAGTTCATGATGTCTGATTAAATTATTTAATGCACTTCGTAGAAATGTTCCAGTATTCTTCAAGGAACTTGTGCTACGATACGTTCCAACAAGACCACACAAGTCACATTCTGGCCCTTTACTGACTATTTCGAATTATGTGCCGTCACTTCCTCAATATGATGCTTTAAGAAATCAGCAGGGGCGCTGTGGAAGGGTCTTCCAATGCAAGCCTCCTCAAAATACATGCATTTTTAGTTGGTTTGTTTTGTTAAGAAGCCATTAAACATACATCGCTTTTAAACTGTTCCAAACTTGATATTTCTAAATTAAACGTCGATGTTTTAGTGTGCTGTTAGACTCTGCTTTGAATATTTTTGTCATATTTTTATCCTAACAATTGTGGTTTTATAGTTGTTTTATGTTAAGTATTTTAGAGAATGTTTGCATTCATTGATAGGGCTCTATGCAAAATCAATAAATCATTATTTTTGTCATATTAATATGCATGTACTGTCATCCAATACACGTTGTAAATTTACCCTACGAATACCAACTGAATGCAGTTTTTGTTTGAATAGCATTGGTCTATGCATTAATTATTCATTATATTAGTTTAATGTTTTACATACACATTTTGAATCTTCCAGATTTAGGAACTGAAAGTAAGGAATAATAGAGTTATATTAAAATATGAAGTTGTTTATATAATTCTTTGGGTGCTGATGCATTTTTAAATAATCTCGTTATGTGCAAATGGTTTTGCCAGATTGTCATACTCCTGCACACGAGTTAATATATATTATATACATACATATTACTCTGCACTGTACCACTGTAAAAACTCCCGGCCAACACCACTGACAGGGGCACATACACTTTGTCAGTCAACCATCACTGAAAATAAATTTGCATTGAAATTACAAATTTATCTTCCAAATTATGGTAATTAATTCAAGCTCTGACCCTAAACTCATTTAAAACACTTGTAAATGGGAAGCATGACACGAAACAATGACATATGTCGCAATGTTTTTCCGAATCGTAATAGTAATTTGGTGCTAACATACTTGTGAGCATTTGCAAGAAGGAGAATTATTTATTAGATGATTCAATTCCGAGACCTTAAATGTCTGTACTGAAATGTCATACTATGCCACTGTTAGATGATGAAAGTTTGACAGTAAATCAACCAAAAGGAAATTGAATACTTTGTTAATGTAATTTGAATTAATAAATGTATTTCTTTTCATTGATATATTAAGCAAATGGCAAACATAATGCTACTCTTGTTTTTTTATATCATAAAATGTTTTTGTCGCAATATATCTTTATTTTTTCCTTTGGTTTTATGCAATTTGAAAGCATTATGTTGTATCTACAATAAGGATTTGATAAAAACAAGTATAGAAAAGGATTTGTGTCTACAAATTTGGAGAATTATTTGAATAGGTCAAGATATGTTAGTGTGGATCTCTTTCAATAATTTGCTTCTTCGCCAGTTCGTATACCTACAATCATGATGTCTGGAGGAGTGGAGTACCTACCACTAAGTCATCATACAACAAGACAATTAGAAATATTTCATTAGAAAGTAAGGAAAACATAACACTAGCACTATTGTGAAACGAGGAAAATCATCCCAACACTTGTACTTTGACACAAGAAATGCATAAAGTGTTACATGCCGATATAAAACAAAAAAATGTAAAACCACATTTTAAAATAGTAGAACCATCTGAGAATAAGTTATGTTTTAAAAGACTACATAAGAACTAATATCATGTCAAGAAAGATGCATGGAGAATTTAGCGAAAAAAATGTCAAATGTCGTCAAATAATTGATGAAAATGGTGTTCCTGTTGCAGTATAATGGTACACGAAGTTAATTGTAACTTTGTCCATTTTGAATTCCAAATCATCCTTATGATACAGGGTAAAGGTATTTACAAAATAAAGTATTGAATCGCAAAACGTTTTAAAAAACAAAAACAGTAAAGGCAGATATTTTCCCTCAAAAACGAACATGTCTACTATCAGATACAAATTATTCAAAGCTTCACATTCTAGGAGAATTTTGAACAAAATGAATGATTTAATCTGACGATGTGACATTAAATAGGATGGTAGACACCTTGAAATGGGCGATAGAATTTGCACTGATGACACCAGAGGTTCAGCAAACGGGTGGTTGTTTTTCCGGAAATCTGCTTTGGACGTCCATGATGCCTGGTCGCTTGTTCTGCCCTGTGGTTCCCGCCATAGACCCGAAATATCGATCGCCAAATGAGCTTGAGGTATTTTCTTTTCTTTTACATACAACTTCCATTCCGTTTTTATCCATTAAAACTGTGTATTACTGTATACAATCAATGAAAAACAAACAAAAATATGTTTAAACCATTTTTTCTGATTGAGCAGGAATTCAACTGTCACTTTCGTCTTCAGGTAGAATACTTCAAATTGATGATTGGTTGTTATCGTCGGAATATACAACCTGTGAAAGATGGTACGATAGGTAATTTAAATTTGTTTTATGTTTTTTCTTGGTCAATTGATGTTTTACTAGATGTCTTTTAAATTTTGTAACACTCTTTCTGTTTCCATGTCAGTTTTTTATTTATATATTTATATAGAATAAATGAATCTTCAAAATAACCTCGCTGTCATTTTCAACATATTTAGCTATATTACTTACGACATCATCATTTTCTCGTGAAGAAATGTAATTTATATTTCAAGACGTCGTTTCCAACACAAGTATTTAAAGGTCGTGTTGATCATATACTTAAATTTGTTTATAATATTTTCAAATACTCGTTCATACACAGAAATAATTGCATCTTGCAAATAGGAAAGAAAATTCAACTTAGCAATTTGATGACCCAGAGGAACATGCCTTCAGGTAAATTGTTACAGTCTGGTATTTGTTTAGTGTATTTGAAATGCGATAATATTTACTACTGAATTTCTTCCTTTGTTATGGTCAATTATATCTAAGAGATTCTGTAATAATAGTGAAATGCCTTAGGCGATGCCAAAATATTGGTAAGAAATAGGAACGTAAGACGTACTGTTCTTGGAGATGTTATGACCTCAACGTCATCAGCTGATATCGATGACGTTTATGACCTAAACGTCATCAGTTGATGTTGATGACGTGTATGATCATGAATTTCCATCATGATTTTAGGAAAGAGGAACAAAGTATGTCTTCATATCACTCTTGTCAATGGCGTCATGGTCATTATCGTCATCAAGAACAGCTGAGAACGTTTGTGTCCTAAACGTCATTAATAAAAGCTGTTGACATTTAGATCATACACGTCATCAACATCAACTGATGACGTTTAGGTCATAAACAAAGAACAGTACGTTTTCAACAGTATCTAGAATCTATGTATTTTCCAATTATAACAAAGATAACAAAGGGTAATGGATTTGTTTTTTTGTCAGTGACATATGTTTTATTCAACAACAGTAACATCAGTTATCTGTGGGTGACTGATAAATTAACGGGATAGATTGTAAGATCCTTTGGTTTAATAACTTAATAAATGTACTGTCTTGGAGAGCAATGTTATATCTACCAATATTTTGAATTGTCTGTGGCGGTCCACACTTCACTTTTACCCACGTGCATGCATAACCAAACACTAGACAACAACTATAACTATTACTTCAATGTACACACGGTGTACTTCGGCTATTGTCCGATTTAGCATAATATACTGTTTACAATGCTGATATCACATTGTAAAAAAATGTGTCGTACATCGTCAATCTATGATTTAAGTGTTCACGCATGTCTCTGATAACTCAACATGATGTATTTTGAACATTTATGACTTAATTGTAATAGCATCGCAGAAAGAATTAGATCGACCAGTGCGTTTTTTTATGTCGTAAGACTTCTTAATTATCTGGTTCCTGGATTTGGACACGACGTGTTTGAGGGTGTTATAAAGTATACAATATATCAAATAAAAAATAGCTTGTTTTCTAACTTACATGAACATACGTTTTAATCAAATAAAACAAGAAAACGTATATGAGCTGAGTGTATAGATCGCTGATAACAACAAGACAATTGGACATCCCATGGTCGCTGGCACTGTTGCAGATCGATAAAGAGCGATTTTCTGGCACCAATAGTTAAGATTGTGAATAATAATGTCCAAAATATGTTTTAAAAAATCTATATATTAACAATAATGCAAATCATATCATTACAACTAAATTTCATCGCGGTAAGTAGTGGAATATACTATGGGCATGTATACCAAAGTGCGATATTTCTGCAGTAGTATTGATTGTCTTTCCTTACACATCACGCGAACACACCGCTTATAGTTCTCCATATAATCAAATGCCCAGTCCAGTTTCAAGATATTACATTTATGCCTCCTCCTCTGAAGAAGAGGAACTTGAAGAGGAGTCAGCGTCATCACCACCAGAGGAACCAGAACTGCTATCAGAACCGCTATCAGACTCTTCACTTGAACCAGAATCAGAACCAGAATCGGCATCAGAGCCGGAACTAGAACTGGATCCACCACCTCCATTGCCTCCATTGCCTCCCCTGCCTCCTTTGCCTCCCTTGCGTCCCTTGCCTCCATTGCCTGCTGGTCCATTGCCTCCATATCCTCCAGGCCCAGACTCATCGGAATCGGATTCGCCAGTATCAGTAGACGAGTTATCAGAGTCATCGGAGTCATCAGAATCATTATTAGAAGCGTCATCGGACTGACTATCTCTGCCGGAATCGGAACCGGAATCGGAACCATCGCCCTCGTCGGAGGAAGAGTTATCAGAGTCAGACTCGCCATTGGAACCGGAGTTATCGGAATCATCGGGATCATTGGAATCAAGGTCATCAGCATTAGCGGAATTAGCATCGTCACCATCATCAGACCCGTCATCGGAACCATCATCAGATCCATCGCCGGATGAGCTAGAGCTGGAGCTTGAGCCGGAGCCAGAACCTGAGCCAGAACTTGAGCCAGAGCCGGAGCCAGAACCAGAGCCGGAACCAGAGCTCGAACTAGAACTGGATCCATCACCTCCATTGCCTCCATTGCCATTGCCTCCATTGCCTCCTCTTTTGCCTCCCTTGCGTCCCTTGCCTCCATTGCCTGCTGGTCCATTGCCTCCATATCCTCCAGGCCCAGACTCATCGGAATCGGATTCGCCAGTATCAGTAGACGAATTATCAGAGTCATCGGAGTCATCAGAATCATTATTAGAAGCGTCATCGGACTGACTATCTCTGCCGGAATCGGAACCGGAATCGGAACCATCGCCATCGTCGGAGGAAGAGTTATCAGAGTCAGACTCGCCATTGGAACCGGAGTTATCGGAATCATCGGGATCATTGGAATCAAGGTCATCAGCATTAGCGGAATTAGCATCGTCACCATCATCAGACCCGTCATCGGAACCATCATCAGATCCATCGCCGGATGAGCTAGAGCTAGAGCTTGAGCCGGACCCAGAACCTGAGCCAGAACCTGAGCCAGAACCTGAGCCAGAACCAGAGCCGGAGCCAGAACCAGAGCCGGAACCAGAGCTCGAACTAGAACTGGATCCATCACCTCCATTGCCTCCATTGCCTCCTCCATTGCCTCCTCCATTGCCTCCCTTGCGTCCCTTACCTCCATTGCCTGCTGGTCCATTGCCTCCATATCCTCCAGGACCAGATTCATCGGAATCGGATTCGCCAGTATCAGTAGACGAGTTATCAGAGTCATCGGAGTCATCAGAATCATTATTAGAAGCGTCATCGGACTGACTATCTCTGCCGGAATCGGAACCGGAATCGGAACCATCGCCATCGTCGGAGGAAGAGTTATCAGAGTCAGACTCGCCATTGGAACCGGAGTTATCGGAATCTTCGGGATCATTGGAATCAAGGTCATCAGCATTAGCGGAATTAGCATCGTCACCTGAATCAGACCCGTCATCGGAACCATCATCAGATCCATCGCCGGATGAGCTAGCGCTAGAGCTTGAGCCGGACCCAGAACCTGAGCCAGAACCTGAGCCAGAACCAGAGCCGGAGCCAGAACCAGAGCCGGAACCAGAGCTCGAACTAGAACTGGATCCATCACCTCCATTGCCTCCATTGCCTCCATTGCCTCCTCCATTGCCTCCCTTGCGTCCCTTGCCTCCATTGCCTGCTGGTCCATTGCCTCCATATCCTCCAGGGCCAGATTCATCAGAATTTGATTCATTTACATCATTAGAAGAATCATCCGAGTCATCGGAGTCATCAGAATCATTATTAGAAGCGTCATCGGACTGACTATCATTGCCAGAATCGGAACCGGAATCGGAACCATCGCCATCGTCGGAGGAGGAGTTATCAGAGTCAGACTCGCCATTGGAACCGGAGTTATCGGAATCATCGGAATCATTGGAATCAAGGTCATCAGCATTAGCGGAATCAGCATCGTCACCTGAATCAGACCCGTCATCGGAACCATCATCAGATCCATCGCTGGATGAGCCAGAGCTGGAGCTTGAGCCGGAGCCAGAACCTGAGCCAGAGCCGGAACCAGAACCAGAACTGGAACTAGAGCTGGAATCATCTGATTCTTCGTCACTTCCAGAACTTCCCGAATCAGAACCGCTTGAGCTACTTGAATCATCAGCATCTCCACCACCATTGCCTCCCTTACTACCTCCCTTACTACCTCCCTTACTACTTCTTGTGCTACTTCCTTTGCTTCCTCCTTTGCTACCTCCGCTTAGATCTGCTGCTGGTGCTGCCTCCTCGGCGCCAGCAGCATCGCCACCACCGCCATCTTCGGCTGCATTTAGTAAGCTATCTAGATGAAATTCTAAATCTTTATCTGTATCCAGTGGCGCTGCAAAAACAAAAAGAACACGATCAGTTGAAATACAAAACTATAACGAGTTTACATGTTTTCAATACGATTTATTTATAAACATCAGTTATATTTTTCATGAAAGGTAGCTTTACATGTAAATCGCCTGATTTGTGAATCTTAAACTAAATGATTGGAAGTTTTGGTGGCCAATATTACTAACTATTAATTTTTCAATGTTTCTTTCAAAGGACGGTCGCTTTTTTATGACAAAATTATTATGTGCGTTGACTGCTCTGTAAAATTACACAATCCAAACCCGATTTCATCATATGCATTAAACTTACAATAACAATTCTGCGATATAAAACATAAAATTCAGTTTGTTATTTTTTCAGTAGCGTAATATATTATTTTTTCAGTGTATGATAAAATGTTATTCAGTGTAATGAATAAACCTTATTTTCATTGTATTGTAAACCTTATTGAATTAAATGCATTAACTTTTGTGCATTATTTACATTTATTCAGTGTGATGTATACATTTTTTCAGTGTATTATATCAGTGTGGAGTATTAACTTGTTCGGTTTCATGTATAAACTTATTCAGCGTAGCATATTAACTTTTCAGTAAATTGTTTAAAGATATTTAGTGTTATGTTAACTTTTTCATTGGATTGTTTAAACTTAATGCGTGTATTGTATCGACTATTTCAGTGTAATTAATTATTCTTTTTAAAGTATATGGTAAAATTTAATAGGGTACTTTATTAACTTTTGGAGTATAGTATTTAAGTAAATCCACTAGGTATATTAATTAAATAATAAATACTCTTTAACAGTTAGATGTCTACGTGAAATATTTATGCTGAGTTTGAAACAACCATGTCGATGACGTTTCGTGCAAGAATGTAAATAAATTCATACTGATATGATATTAGCAAGCATTTCCTTAAAAGGATTGTCTGCAAGGTAAACAGTTGCTTTGTCTGCAACCGACAACTTTCGAAATGCCAAGCATGTGATAATAATTTCTTTTTGTCAGAATGACAAGCTTGAATAATTTATGATTTTTTTTCTACTTAATTGGCATGCTGTCATTTTTTATGTATGTATATACACATGGTATTTTATGCTCAACAAGGATAAAAGCTTTTCATTGTATATAATATTTTAGTAGTAGTATTTCTACACTGCCTGCCATTAAATTTGAGTATTTACATATGATGAAGATAAGACGATCAACTTGTAGATAAACGTATATGTCAAAGCCTGCCTATCACTTGTTTACAGGTAAATATAGGTACATACAGGTAAATACGTCACCACGGTTAATCAGGTATATTATCATATTACTCAAACATTACATTTAATGTAAACAAAACTATAAAGAACCCTTGTGAAACAATTTTATTAACTTAAAGTGGTATATCCAACGATTTAATTTCATGTGCTGGATGGAAAACCTAGTATCCAAATTTGTATCAATAGTGTTTAATAATACCTAAAAATAGACTTAATGCACATCATAGGCTTAGACCTTTGGATGGTAGTAAAATTGTCAAATGTGGTTTTGATTTTAAAAATTCATGTTTTTGTCCTAACTGTTCGTTTGAATATGCTTTTTTTACATCTTTTTAATTTCATTTTATTTAATCATTCTTACGATCCATTTTATACGCATATTAAGATGTTTGTTATATTATCTTTTACAGTAATCATTTTATCACAAGACCATTTAGCAAAACAATCGATGTCATGAAAACATATGATAAAATATGCCCTTTTGGAAAGTATTGGTTTAGGTAAGGTACGCCCATGGAAATGATCGTCTGTAATATTGTTTTATATTATTTCTAGGTAATAAAGATTCACAAAGATAACTTTATTGTATATGGTGTTATAACTGTACATGTACATAGATTACCTCACTGCAGTGATAGTAACTAACCATAACTTCTTAAAAGAGCGTAACAGCTGAAAATTTGCCAATTTTGTCACTTTTATATGACATTTAATCATATTATCTCGAAATATTTGTCGGTATTTTTTCAATATAATCATTTCTTATATTTTACATATATTGTAACATATTCAACCATTAATTAAATATTCAAAGTGATATATGACATTTTTATATGACCTTGATGCTTAAGTAAAGGGTGAGTTATTTATTTAATTTACAAAATAGTTTAAACATGTATGAGAAAACATGAATTAACAAAATATTGTTAGATGAAACAAATTTAGTAAACTCAGCATAAGGCCTCGAATTTGACCTATTTATAGTCTGGAAAATATTCAATACATCATACCATTTTTATTAAATAATAATACATTATTATTACTATTATCTTATATAATAGTTTATGAGATTGTTAAATTTAGAAAAAATACATCAAGAATATATTGATAAGAAAACGGTTTATAAAACAAAGGATTTTAGTTATAACTATTTGTGAGAAGCTAAAATAAATGTTGAAATAATTGAAGATCTTATACATTTCCTATCGTCATCATTTGTTGTTCTTTAACTTTATGTTCATCGGTTTTAGTAATATCCATGATATCCAAGTAACAGCTAGTTTTGGCTCCATTACTTTTATATTTTCTAATTTATATTTTTTAGTCAGTTTTTAAAACCTAACACACTATATATCGAAACATAATCCATAACTGGAAAAAACAAAAGCTCAGTATACATTAGATTTAACACTTACCAGAAACGGCTAATGCCACGAGAGCAAGGACACCCAGGATCAACTTGATGTACATCTTTCTCGTTTGCTAAAGTCCGTTACCGGGAGAGCAGTTGAGTCGAAAGTGGGAGAAATGTTTTCTGATTAGGACCTGGACGATTCAGCCTTTATATAGTCCGGGACATTTCCCATTCTGTTACATCACGATACTTCAATCAAATCATCCGGCGAACAATTAGGCACTCCGTAATGTAAATCGGCACGATCTAAATTTGCATACAATTACAATCACGGCGTAGTGCCTGTGTAGATCTGGCTAGGCCAATGTAACGTAGGCATGAGTGTTAGGTTTACAGACCGCAGCCTGCCACATTTCCGGAAAGGATTAAATTAGCTTAACTAATGACACAATCAGAGTACATATACGCGTACTGTTTCATAATTTACACGCGTCTTAATGTTGCTTAATGGCAGTCTGCTATGCTAATTCAGTATTTAAACATGCATTATTTAAATTACTAATCACGTTTCTTGATTAATTATAAAAAACAGAAATTAATTTGGACTATATCCTGAATTGCAATTCAGAACTGACCTTGAACGTATCATCAAAAGATGACTTTGTTTCAATGTCGTTTCAAGTAAAACTTACAAAACCACCAAGAACAGAAGATGGAGGAAAATCCACAACTTCTATTCTGAATAGTTTAAAATGGATGCAATCCTTTTCTCAGTCTCGAAACAAGTTTGGACAGCAAGGAATGATTGATGCAGAGATGCTACGTCTTGATTACGGGGAAAACTTGTATTTCGAATGTATTGTTTAAATTGTTTTGATACGATTGTGTGAGTTTAAGGTGAATTGCATTTTCGTCTTTTATGAGACTCCAGTTGACCAGTTCAGTACGTTTGTTCGCAGTTGTTTTCTCTTTTGTATGTGTGGACTATGTATACTTGCAGACGAACTACGCTGTTCAAAGATACCGTTGTTACTTTCTATTTCGTACTGAAATATATGAAATGTATATTGAATAAGAAGGGTAGGTCATTGGTTCAGCAGACATTTTATAACATTACAACTGGAACGACATTGCAAAGAGGTGGATATTTTGAAGTGGCTATTGTTAATATTCAGAAACTTTTATTGCTTTGAGCAACTAACGCACGAAACTGAAAGCTCATTCGGCAAACGCAAGTTATACAGGTAAATAAGTGTCAAAGCTTAATGAGAATACAATGATTAATTTTCAAGAGGAACGGACACATGAAATAGACGATAAAAACGAAGGAATATGAAAATGACAATTTATTTTCTTTATAGTACTGCCTAGAAATGTATTATCATGATGTTAATACATGTATTAAATTTCGTTGAAATCAAATTAAAACGACGAAAATTATCAATTGAAGATACTAAATGCATACATATTCAACAATATACTGGACCTATTCTTCACGGTTATCACAATGGGTGTGAGTTTTCTGATCAATTTTATCGTTCGTGGTTATCAAAATGAATAAGGTCTGGTAGACTTGAGCATTGATGATACACACCATCAGTGATATAATAAACTCCATCATATACTGTGCATGTTTTGGGAAATAAGAGGCATGTTCTTTCCCACTGCTTGTCATAGGACGTGACTACTATGGGACCCTTTGCAGAATCGTGTTTTTTGTTTAAGAAACCAAAATTGCTCTCATGCACCCCTTATTACACTTCAGATCCATATCTTTCCTTCCTTTCTTCCCTTCATCGTTTTGGTGGTCTCTCTATAGGCACCCCGTCTTTTTATGACCGTAGCTTTTGCCGGGACGTTAAACCCAAGACAAACAAAAAACAAAACTTGATCATTTTTGATTATCCCGATGACTATTTGTTGTATGCCACACTTAATTACACATGGTTGTCCTTGTGGGTTTGCTGTCAATACCAGGTTCTTTCTTTGAGAACGTAGCATTACTTGAGTTTGACCTAGATTTACAGGGATGATGTAGGCAATGCTCACGTTAGAAGGAAGACGTGTTCCATTCCGGAACATCTGGTCTGATATTTCACGAGTGTCTTTATTAATATTTCCTCGTTAATATTTTTTACACTAGATTCATCGAATTTGAGCTCAAATTATATTTATATTTACACTCTGGAGTTTTTATGTGTCTTTTTACAATGACAATCAGCATATGTTTGAAAATGTTCAAAATAACAATATTTTCATTGAATAATTTGAATTTTCTATATATATATTTCGATCGATACTGTAGGAAAACCGCAATTATTTTGTTTATCTAACTATCCAGTAGTCCTTCACGGACAGGTTGGTCATTTGCTAGGTAAGAAATGTCCGTTAAATCTGGTAATGTAAAAACATGGATAAGACTGTTCGCAGAACAGAAATGTCATTTCCATTATATTCTGAAAATGGCGATTTATTAATCAACTACATAGCATTTACTTTCCCACACCAGCTAATTTTTTTACACTTTACTTTGAGGTAGCATATGAACTTTGCCAAATTAACATGACGTTTTATGGTAATTGTGTTAATGCTATTATTAGAGCGATTGAAACTGACGTTTTTAGTGTAATAAGGATGGACCTCACTGGAAATGGGCCCTTGAATTTTATTAGTCATCGTTCTCTAATTTTTCATAAATATTCTATTTTAAACACGACTGGACATTGTACATGATATCATCATTTAATTTGATGTTTTACATAAGTGTGTCATGTTTTATGAAAATTAGATATTGTATATGAAACCTATTATTTAAATGTCTTTAAGCCTAAATAAATCTTTCTGTCTCTCTTCTTTCTTAATTTCAGTGCCTTATGTTATATGAAACCGTAGCCAAAGCTCGTTGTTAAACGAGTCTATTACCTACATAATATCTCTATTTTGTTGGTTGACTTAAACTTATCGCAGATGGTATTCCTGTGATCCTGAATTTGATGTTATAACAGTTTTATGACATCATAAATGCAATGTCATAGACCAACAGCAATATCCTTTAAAACGAATTATTTCTTTCGTGAATTGTTTTAAGAACACGATTCATGAAGTTGTTTACATTTTTAAATAGAATTATGTGCAAGAAAGAAAGAAGAAAGGCATGAAACCGAAGAAGTACTAATATAAACATGAGGTTGTATGACCTGACAAAATAAAGTGAACCTTGTACAAATGCTATGTGAATTTCCCTTAAATTCGCAAGAGGCTCGGTTTCTTTTTCCAGGATTTGCGATAAGTCAGATAAGGCATATTATAAAAGGAGCATGGTTATTTTACTCATCACATATAATTGCACCCTAAAAATATGACCTGATCACACGAATTGGAACTGACACACGAGAAGACCATATGTATGGCAACACACAAAAAACACGACGTGCGAATATCAACAGGAAAATATAATGGAGCTTAATGTGTATTCCTGCAAAATATGGCTTTATGTCTATATTAGAGTGATGTATATAATATTTGTAAATTGATGCCAGGTTTTTTTAAATGACGATGGTTTTGTCTTCATTGTTATTTTTTCTATAATTTATGAATAAAAATCATATGAGTTTGTGTAATAATTACGAGAAGTACACAATAAGAAAACACCTATATTGAAAAACAAAATGGTATAACGATGCTGGGAGCAACATCATTTTTATATTTATTAATAATTAAACTTTAGTGGAAGGCAATCGGCTTTAAATAAATAACAGGGTAAACAAAATGTTGTTCAAAACAGTTTAGTCACACACAAAAAATCAAGTACATTTCATTCATACTTTTTGAAAAACAAAGTAATTATTTGTGTTGCCTTATTTGCTTTACCTGAATATGTAACAGGACTCACGACTCTTTTTATTGTGGTGTTGAGCATGACCGCTATTACCAAGTATCTGAGGTCAGTGGTTGTCAAGATAAATTAGCAGGCGTGTCAGCATGACCATTAATAAACCAGGACGATAAGGGAGATAATTCATACATCACATTAGTTAGATTTTTGTGTATTTAGAGGTAAGATTTTAATTTTTCACTATACATTAAATGATAAGAATACATAATTTACTTAGTGTGTGTGAATGGAGGCATTCATACATTGCAAATTTTATTTCGAAATAAGTATCGATATTTTGTGAATTGTACTTAGATATAAGTATTGATCTTTTTCTGTTTTGTATTTAAATGAAAACATTGACGTTACTTTTTATTTAATATAAATGTAAGTATTGATACTTTGTAAATTGCATATAAACGTTGATATTTAAACTTTGTTAATTAAGATTAATGTTATTGTCTATGGTCATTTAATTTGTGTATAATATACCACGTTTCTGTTGTTAAAATGAACATTTCTTGCAAAAAGCATGTCAGGTCTGGCGCTGTAATAATTCATGTTTCCTTGCTGTCAAACATTGATGGCATTGCCGGGCACAGGTTTGGAATTTTGGCCTCACATTTTGGGAAGCATGGTAAAATATTAAAAATAAAAGCATAATTACATTTCTTTTTTATCAAACCAACTAAAATAGAAGAAATTATCTAAAAAATAATCTTGCTGCAACAGAATCCGTACAAACATAAGCGGTCATTATTGTGAATTTATTATTTGTTATTTCCTTTGTTTTGACTTATTACTTTTTACAAGCGAAACATATAGCATCTCCTTTATTCACACCTCAGTCAAAAAACTACGTTTATTGTTTTGATATATATATCTGCTTTTCATTGCTAAAATGTTGGAAAGTAGGTTACTGGTATATCAATGTATGTCCTTCACTTTGAGTATCAATACAGTAGGCTATGACAATTACGGCCGAAATAATATGTCATTTGAATTGATAAGATTATTATTATCATTCGTTATTGTTTTCCTATCAAAGAGTTGACTGGACCTTATTTATTCTTTATTAGACAGATGTCTGTTTCTTGTATTTTTCTTGTAAAAAAAACATGGCTATTTTTAGAATTGTATGTCGTCCGAGACATGAAACCATAATTACAACCAGTCAAAATATCCTAGCATGTTTAATGGCTTCATAAATCATAAATTAACTGAGAGGTGATCATTCCTACATTTCACCTGTGCAAAATATAATCCAAATTCCTTCAGCTGTTCTAGACTATTAGTTTTGTAACAAAAAAGTGTACGCTGAACGGAGC